GATTTTTTTTACATTAAATTAATTAAAATTTAATTATTATAGCATCGAAATAATATATCTTTCTCTATCATTTCGACTAAAATAAAAAAAAATAGATAATAATGATAAAGTTCTTGTTTAATCAATATGGTTTTACTAATAATGAATAGAGCTTGTCGAGCAAAGTGAATGGGAAGTACCAAAAGTTATGATTTCATTTCATTTTTTAGGCAATGGGGAAACTAAATGATTGCATGTTTTCCTAATTGCCATGGTGTAATGCTGACGAAGGTGGTATGTCTTCATCTTATGAGAAAAGTTGGTTCAAATGGTTTGACCACATTGCAATGATTACTGGTGAGTAGGAAAAAAGAAAGTAAAAGAAGGCTGAAGGTTCTGCCTCGATAAACAACAATGTCCACAAAGGGGACTCAGCTTGCTTTCAACTTTGAACATGACTATCAAAGATCCTTTTTCACTATACATTGGCTTAATATGAAAAAAAAAAAAATTTACTGTGCTTTGAACATTTCTCCTCTCTTCCAAAAAATGATTTTATTATAATTAATTTAATTTTTCATATATATATTTATATACATTTCACAAATTAAAAAAGTATTTATAAGGATAAGGGAACTTATTACTTTACTGCCCTTTTTCTTTTTGCAGACTAAGAGAGAAGTAGAGCTGCATTTAAGTTAAGTGGAGGCTTATTCCATATTTGGCAAATGTCCCTTTCTTAAAACAGTGATTGTTTAGCTATTAGGTATGGTTTCCTTTGCTTTCACATTAGCAAGTCTAGAGAGATCATTTACTAAAAGGGTGTTAAAGAGAAAAAACCAAGTTCATTTATGTGTGCTAGGTATCATTGGGTTTGAAAGCATAAATGAATGAGATTTTGGATGTTCATGGGCTTTTAGCAGGTGATTTTAAATTTATTCTTAATATAGAACGAATAATTTTTAAATCCTTTAACTTGTTCTCTTTCTATACAGGCATATGGATATATCAGTTTAGCAATTTTATTTATTTTTAATTTCTTTACATAGAATTAATTACCATATTTAATCACAAGTTGACTCTCATTGAAAAAAGAATGGGATTTGGACATTACAAAGGGACAAAGTGAAAGGTGAAAAATGCTTTATGCTGGCCCTTTTCTTCCTGATCTAATCTGAGAGATATCAACATTGTCTATGTATATATATATATATATATATATACATGCAATGTGGGTTTCTTGTCATCGCATACATATCAAAATCTCAACCTCATCTAAAGTTCTATGGATGCTTGTGATTAACCATGTGTATGCATTTTAAGCGGCTATATAACTGACATGTACACCTGCCATTGTCTTAATCATGCTTGTGCCTTATATGAAGCATATGTCTTATTCTGTGGACAATTTCAACATCTTAATCTGTAAAATTAAAGAAGAAGAAACAGTCATCTAATAATTAAAGGTTGATTAGAGGATGTATAGGTGGCAGAATGGAAATGGAGGAGAAGGATGCAAAAGAAAAAGAGAGCAGAAAAGGATAAAGAACATCAGGGATAGGAATCATAGGGTCAGTAAGAACAAATTTCCTAACCCTTTTTTCCCCCATCAAATGTTACTCTTTAGAAAGAGAGGATTCTCATATAATATTGGGGTTGAATATATTCTCATTTAGTCATATTTATTGGGGGGGTTTTGTTTTCAAGTTGTCAAGCTTTAAAATGGCCCCTCTTGAAACTTTTTCGTGTTGTAACAAAGGCCATAAGACGTTAATTTGTGCCAAGACATTAAGCTGGAAATCACAAGCAGTGTTTGTGAAAGAAAATAAATACTAGACTTATCTAACAAAAGGACATGGGACTCAAAGCTGTCACCCCCCTGCCATGAAAACGAAAGACTATTATCACACCATTTGTACGATATGGGAAAAATTTCAAGAAAACATTTACACTACATCAGTTGATTTTCAAAACTCTCTCTGGGGAAACAGTGTGGTTAGCTGTATCTTGTTTGTTTTCTTCCTTGAGAGGGATTGCCTTTTCAATTGTCCAAATGCCTGTGGTGTTTAGCTATGTAGCTGCATGATCTTTTGCCCAACAAATTAAAATGCCCTCGCAATTACAAACTTCTCTTTTCGGATGGGAATTTTCCAAGAGTCTGAGACTGGTGTTGCAGTGGTGGGGTTCTATCGCTTTTGTTTCACAGGATTCTCAACAGTATGTGCGGATCATCTCGCATTCTTGTCAAACTTAATTCTCATGGCAAAGCCGAAGACAGGGGCCAGGGTACCCTAAATTGACATTTATCACAAGCATGTGAGTCACATGTACCCGGAAAAAAAAAATTCTTGCTTGCCCCTGGTGGTTTCTTTGCAATCGAATGCATCAGTGGTCAGTCGGAATTATAATCCCTCGATCGAATAAAATTTTTTTATCTTCATTTAGTGTCCATAAAATTAAATAAATAACGTAAACTTATGGAAAGAGATATCATGCCGCACATCAAATAAAGGTAGAAGATTTCCGTTACCTTCAACCCTCGTGGCTTTGCTTGCTACTAATGTGAAGACCCGTCCCCACTCTAATTATGCAATAAAGAAACGGTCAGATATGACTAGTAAAATTGACCATGACAAAAGAAACTAAAATAGAAAATACTATTTATAAAAAGAAAAATTGAAGAAATTAACATATATATATATATATATATATATGATAAGATAGAGGATAAGATCAGACAATTTTTCCTTCCCCATGTTTGCTTCAAACTTCAAATACAATTATTTTTAAATAGATAAAGAGAAAAAAAAAGGGTTTTGATAATTTGAGCTTGAGACAAATGTAATTGACCCAACTCGTACAGCAAAATAGTGTAAGTCAAAAACCCATTGAGCAAAAGCATGTGGTGTGCATGGTTATGTTGCCTCCTTTATTAGCAAATAACGGTAAAAATAGACAGATAAAAAAGAAAAAAAAAACATTCATGCTTGGTTAATTGTTTTTTACTCCTGTCACCTTCACTTTGAAGAGGATCAAAGATCGAAGAAGAATCCTATTTTATTGTAGTCCTATATTGTTCCTGAAGATAGTACTATCAAATAGTATGAGATTGGAGAAACATTATGACTCATCTTACTCCTGTACCCAAGCACTCTAAAAATAGCAAATCGAACTTGCTTAAATACCCTTTGATCATTGAGAATAGTTGTTTCTTTGTCATGTGTTTTAGTTTTTTGGGATGTATCATGTGTCCCATCAATCAAAATCAATCAAAACCTTTAATTATACGATTATAAAAAATTGAAATTCAAATTTTGTAAAAAAAAAATGAAATTTATAAAATGTAAAATAATAGTTTTTTATTATATAATCAAATTTAATGAATTTTTTTGTGTGTGTCAAATAAAGCTCGAGATTACTTAAATGTGAAGCTGAAATGTTAAGAAGACTGAACCCAAGATATACATGCATTTGAATTGAAGTTGTCAGGTTAACTCTATAGAACTACTATGCAATCTTTGCAGTGTAGCATTTGAGTCAAGGAATGTGGCGCAATAATATCTTTGTTCGTTGTGAAAGGAAGTGGCATCCTTAAATGCTTAGGTGGCTTTAAATTCAGTAGGGAAGAGGGGAGAATGGGGGTTGTTAAAGAAAATGGAAGCCAATTTTCTTTGTAAAAGAAAGACTACCCGAGTCAAGCTACAACATAAACAATGACTAGAGAAAGGAAACCTTGGGTACTCTTAGAAAACAGAAAATAATAAAGAAAGAACTATGGGGGAAATGTGACTTAAGTTGTTCTTTAATCCAAAGCAAAGTTGTCAAAGTTAGATAGGAAAAGTATGGTTCTTCCTCCTTGTTGGATAGTAATTCTGAATGCATGATTTTTATGAAATATGAAATATTTGTCTCGATATAAAAAGTTTTGTATTTGAATTTTATTTATAATTTTGTCTTTATAAAATACGGCGCATCGATCTTGTTATCTCACTTGACAGATTGAGTAATTTATTTGCTTTTGGAAATTTTTCGATAAAAAGAAAAAAAAGGTTGAGTTGGTAAAACAAAAACAAAGAGGAAAGGCTGGTATGCCAGCTAGTCTCCCACTGCTATAGGGTATAGCAGAAGTGTATTTAGCGGTGGATTATGCGGCACTTCTTTATAAAAATGGACCAGCGCTTATCGCGGGACTGAGAGAGGATGCATACCGCAAACTGCCTCTACCATCTCACTGCTTTTGTATGCACTGCTTTGGGACCACTTCTCTTCCTATTGCTTGCTCTTCGCTATCCTTATTCTTTCCCTCACAGTATACCTTCATCCCCTCTCTTCTGTTTCATTCACTTGGAAACATATAATACTGTTTATTAGTATAACAATCACACCACAGGGAACACTTAAAAGATATAGAAATCTTCTTTGGGTCAAATTTTTTAGCAGAAACAAAATTCACATTGTAGTTAAAAGACATGGACTGGTTGCAGTAATTTACTAATTGAGATGTCAAGCAACTGGCAGTGGGAGCATTGGAAGTACATGTGATAAGCTGACTGACTAAAGAACTTGTCAAACTATATTTGTACAAACGATTTCTTGAGAGAAATGAAAGTGGTTGGAGTACAAACTCGAAATATCAGACATTGATTACATTTTCTCAAAGCTTGGAAAGCAAAATCAAATGTTCATGCACATGCTTTAATTCTTCACTTTTTCCTTCTCTTTCTTTCTTTCCCCATTGGAGATGGTTCTATTTGTCGTTTGTTGCCAATTTTCTTCATGTAATTACGAGTCAAGATTGGTTTAGTAGAAGGGAATCACTAGGAATCCGGGGCTTTAATCCATTTGCCAACATTAGCTTTTGGAAAAAGTACAACCGCCCTTTACATTTAAAATCTAGTACAATTCGGATTAATTTGTATTAAATTGTGCAACAATGTTGTTACAGTAGTACAAAATTCTTTACAGTCCCTGTTAAAACAAACAACTTCGCTGTTTTTCTTTTCCAAGGAGTAAGAGGGGAAGGCAAAGGCAGGGAGCCAGGGGCCAATACTACATATAAGTTAAATAGGGCAGCTGCTCTGTGAGGCTGAGGAGACTCAGAAGTGAAAGTTGAAGACTCCACAGGCTTCTTTTTCAGCACAGAAAGCGAAGCTTCTCTTTTCCTTCATTATTACCTCAACTCATTTTTTGCAAACTTACTCGCTCATTTATTTCTTTTCTCATTCTTCTCTTGACCCTTCTCTCAATTCCAACATATTTCAAGGGAGGAAGGAAGGAAGAAGAAGAAAAAAAAAAAATAAAGGAAAAACAACAGAAACTTGATATGGATTACTTTGATCTTGAGGACCCATTCACAAGCTTGAAAGAACACCAACCTGATACAATCTCAGCTCTTTTCTCCTCAGAATCTGACCACATGCCTCCACAGAACTACCTTCGATGTTTAAAGACCGGTGACTTCTATGTTTCTTTCCGACAGGAAGCCATTTCTCTCATGTTGCAGGTACGCCATTTCTATTCTAACTTGGTACTGTTCTTTTTCTTTCATATTGTTTACTGTTCTTGTCTTTTATTTTTCTTGTATTTTGTTGTAAGCTTGTTTTAGTTGGTCAGGCACAGTATTCTTGTAACCTTGATCCTTACACGCCATACCTGGCTGTTAACTACATGGATCGGTTCATCTCCAGGCAGGATATCCCGGTATAGTCAAAGCTACATGTTTTCTCTTTTATCTTTATAGTTAATGAATTTTACCTTAATGTTTGCAACTTTGATTGATGAGAAGTTGATTGAAAGTAAAGTAAAACTTGAAAATAAGATGCGAGTGTTCAATTAGAGGATTCTTTGATGTACTGAAACAACTTTAATTAAACATCTAATCCATCTTGAATTTTGTAGCAAGGCAATCCATGGGTTCTGAGGCTTCTTGTGATAGCTTGCATTTCTTTGGCTGCAAAGATGAAGGAAATACATTTCTCTTCCACTAATTTCCAGGTAAGAAAATCTCATTTTCGGATTAATAATGTTCTACTTTCATCTCCTTAATTTGTTTAGCCTCATGCAAGACTATACTACAAATGAAACAGAGAGAAGAAGGGTTCATCTTCGATGCCCAAGCTATTCAAAGGATGGAGCTTCTGATTCTTGATGCTTTGAATTGGCGAATGCGATCAGTTACACCCTTCTCATTTATCTGTTTCTTCATGTCTTTGTCCGAATTGAAAGACCCACCTTTGACACAAGCACTAAAGGATAGAGCTTCAAACATAATCTTCCAAGCTCACAGTGGTAATTAAACAGAACGTGAATCATTTCTGTTTACGTCTTTATCTCGAAAACAGCTTAAACGCTTACGAGGAAACTCTGTTTTTCGTTACAGAAATCAATCTGTTAGGGTTCAAACCATCAATCATTGCAGCATCAGCTCTTCTTTTGGCATCACATGAGCTATTCCCATTGCAGTTTCCGTCTGTCGAAACCTTAATTTTGTCTTGTGAATACGTGAATAAAGTAAGCAGCTCTTTCTTCCTTTCATTTTGAATGCCTTAAATTTTGGTCAATATTTCTTGTTACTTTGCATTGATGAGTGAGGTCTAATGATATGACAGGAGAGCCTGTTAAAATGCTTTAATGCAACGCAGGAGATGGTGGCTAACCAAATCAGCGAATCGATTGTAGATACGGTGTCAAGCTCGAGTACAAGAACCCCATTAAGTGTATTGGACTGCCACGGCACCAGAGCAGAAAGTGAGAGTACCACTAGCACCACGGCTGCCACTGCGATGGCAGAAAAGAGAGAAATCAAGCGTCGAAAATTGAATGGTTTTTGCAGCGAAAGCAATAGGGTACAGATTTCCCAGATTCAACCATGTGGATAAGATTCAGCTAGATTTTTCACTACCCAATTGTCCTAAAGGTGAAAAAAAAAAGGAGAGTCATGAATGGCTTTGATTAGAAGCTCAAGAGAGAGATGGCACAAAATCACCCAAGCACTTTCCTCTTTTTCTTCCCCTTTCTTTGTCTAAGAAAATTTTGAAAAAGAGAATAAAAGAACAATAAAAAAAAAGAGATGAGAGAAATTAGACTATTCCACTTCACTTAGTAAATGTTGTAAGCAGGGGCCAGCTGTTGGAGGAAGGGACATGAAGGACAAAAGACATGGCTTCAAATGTTAAAATAGTACTTGTCTTGTGTTAATGTTGTGTTGTTTTGTAGCAGATAGGGAATGGGAAAGCTTCATTCAATAAGATATTTTAATGTAAACTTTCAGAATAAGAACATGATTTGCTTGGAAAAAGGCACAGTTGGGAGGTTCCTATTTCTCATGTCAACGTATAGATATTGTAGAAATATACCAAGGAAAATGAGATTGGCGGGAAAGAAATATACCCTACCTCCCTCCCTCCTCCTCCTCCTACTTAACAAATGACAAAGAATTTGTGGGGATAAGAGAGAGACAGAGACAGAGAGAGGCAACGGTCAAGGCACGTTGCTTTCTTAAAAGATTTTGTTATCTTTGTCGAGAAACTACACCAATTTAAGTGCTTGAAAGCAACCAGGGGGACGAGGGAGGGGGGTGAAGAAATACAACTATATCTTATATTTGTGGGTTCTTGAGGGATTGAGAAGCACAAGACTTGAGTGGGTTTTTCTTAAATTTATGTTTTGCACAAAGCACAAGGACCAATTAGCTTTAAATTACGAGGTTTGGTTTCTTGTTTCTCAATTGGGGAAAGATGAATTGAATTCTTTTTGGAAAAAATTCCTTTTTTTTTTTCTTTTGTTTTTCGTTTTCTATTGATTGATAGATTGGACGAAGGTCTTTGATGGTCCTGAAATGAATCTTTGGGTCCACTTCTGGAGGTAATATTTCAAGAAATTTGATTTCTGTAAGCTGGAAAACATTCATTCTACTTCAGGGACCACTGGGCTATAGCTTAGATAGTCCAAGCATGTAAGCCCAAATTGCATGTCCAGCTTTTTTTTCCCTGTATAAAGTTGTTTCTGCCATTTCCTGTACTTTCACAATATTTCTGGAGCTTGGTTTTTTCCAATGGGAAATGCAGATTTCACCCAAAAATTAAAATGAAAAACTAAAGGAAGTGACTCGTAAAAATTCTCTTTGATCCTATTGCCCTCTCTTCATATATTTTAAGCGGCAATCTTTGTTGGAGTTAATAAGTACATGAAAAGGAGCTAGCATCCATCCAATGCCACTAGCCCAATGCCTCTAGTCAACACTTGCAGAACCGTGCACCATTATTTATGAACACTTACTAAAATTAAAGAGTGGCATGGAGATTGTTAACCTGCATACATGTCTTCTTTCACCAAAAAATTGAGCCAAAGATCATTGCAGGAATTACCCTCATACATGAGCTCTTGGAACCACAACAGCTAACAGCTGGTTGCAGAAATTCCAGGCTCTGCATAAATGGCCCCATAATTGTCTGCTGTGGATGATCCTTCTGCAGTGAATGGCTGCTCCAATATGCTTTGGAGTTCTCCAAATGTTTCGGATGAAACAAGGGTGTCTTCAGTTGTTTGGTACCTGTCGATTTCGGCTGCAGGTTTGGAGCCTGATGAAGGTAAACTGTCGGTCGAAAATTGTTGGGAGAGCTGGATTGCACTCGAGCTTTCTGAATTTGCTGGAGCAATGGCTGGTGGGAGATCAACTTCGGATGAGCTCTTCTTTCCGGTTTCAACGTTGGATATTTGGAAAAGTTCACTAGTCGACACTGAATTGTACTTCAAACGTTTTCTCAAGTGAGTATGCCAATGATTTTTAATCTCATTATCAGTTCTTCCAGGCAACCTTGATGCAATCACTGACCATCTGCAAGTTTTAACAATTCTTTCTCTTTTGATTCAGAAGATCCAAGGATATATCTATCTTCCATTACAACCTTGATCTCAACTCTCAGTTTGCCAGATTTAATCGTATAACAGAAAAGTACTGATTAGAAATAATTACTATATCTGCACTTGTATTTGATTTAATAATAATGCATAAAGCTAAGAAAATTAATGGAAAACTCTGATCCATAAAAGCATCAGTTGCAGCAATCATGACAAACTATTACATGGATAGACATAAACACTCATAGGGATAGTTCGCTACACGGCCTTCAGCACTCACCGATTTCCAAGCCTTTCATGCAGCTCAATTATGGTTTCATCCTCTTCCCTAGTGAAATTTCCACGCTTGATTCCAGGCCTCAGGTAATTCACCCAACGAAGTCTGCAACTCTTCCCAGACCTTTGCAATCCTACAAGTGAAATATATCAGTGTAATAAAGACAGGATAAAAGCCTAAAGTTTGTAAAGCAGCCAATTACTTCAGTATTGCTCTACGATATTGCTTCTTTTTTTGGGATTTGATGCACGTTTTTATGCTTAGTTACCTGCTGGTTTGGCCATCTCTGTCCAATTCCAGATACCATGTCTATTAATATAAGCTATCAATTTGCGGTCTTCGTCGGGACTCCATGAACCTTTTCTCAGAGTTCTCTTTTCCACTGACTGTGAAGCCTTCGCCATCTTTCTGCAATAAGTAAAGCAGATTTCAAGCTAAATGCAAAGGCAAAAAACGTTCTACATATATAGAAAGACTGTATGCACATTTATCTTATGATTCCGTGGAAAACGTGTTTCCATCTCCCGAATTTTCCAAGGAAATGACGATTACGAAGCAAAGCATTTATTCCAAAAAGGGTTCCTCGTGGAACACCGCTTTAATACTATTTCAATGCTTATAACACACAGGTCGACCAGAGAATATCCCTGATGTATGGAACGTCTACATCCTGGAACATGGTGATCTAATTTAACCACAAATTTCCACGACTGACGTAGCTGCTGATGACTGATGTCTTGTGACTTCGGTCAGCACTCAGCAACGTTGCTCACCTGAAAAATTAGTTATGAATGAAGACTTGAGCAGATGGTAGCCGATAGTTCACGACAAAATGCAGTACACCAAGTTTGACATTCATCTGCCGTTCGATTGTCAATATGACAAGGGATTGCTTGCAAGCATGCTTAATGTTCAGTCCAAGAGGAATAGTTTAACAGAGGAAACGAGAAAAGACAGCCTGGTAATACACAGTTGGTGTATCTAATTCACGATGATGGTATTAGCAGTTTATAATCAACAATAAATAAATATATCTATTGGAATTTGAGTAACAGTCTTATGACCATTTGGTGACTAATTTTTATAGAATTATTGACTATTAACTCGCCAATTTCGAAGAAGATCCATGGTGAGGACAAAAAAGGAGGTGTGAAACACATGTAGATATGAAACATAATAATAGACTAATATAGTTCTTATTATATTGGTCTTGAATGTTTGCTATAAACAGACGGATCAAAGTGCAACTTCAACCTAGAAATGGCCCAATTACTTGGAAGACTCTTTCCTTTCATTAATCCTGCAAAGAAATTTAGAAAGTCTTTGAACAGGGGAATCTGCAGCCTGCAGAGGAGCATCAAGTAATATTTGTGGAATTCAATGATATGTACCAGGTACACTCGGCGCAAGCTACATTTATTCACAAAAAGAAAGAAATAAGTCATGGTAAAAAGAAATCTATTTCCAAGCTATTCTTTAAATTAAAAAAAATACACTTTTGGAGAGAAGTGTCTACTATTGCAGTCATGGTGAATTAGGTGTACCCTAATCAATCTAGTTAAAGATCAATGGGATTATAAACCCAAAGTCTATCTGGGGAAAGTGACAATGAAATGTAAAATTGAATAGGCTGCCCTAATAACCTCCCCCAAACTGCTACAAATAGAAAGTTTCCTTGTATGCTTACAGAAACGGGGTTATCTTTCTTCTGTGAATAAAACAAATGACCAGTCCTTTGAAGAAAACGAATCACCAGTCCAGCAGGATTCTATGGTCCAAGCTTGCAGCAAACACTTTGCTGTTCCATCTGCTTGTCTAACATCCCTCCATCAAAGAATAAATTACTGGGGATGTTTTGTAATTTGACGTTGTCACCAATGTTGGATAAGACCTTTGAATACAGCTTCTCATGTTCATGCGTTGTCACCACCATTTAACTATTTTGGACAGGGCTCAGGAGTCCCAATTGATATAGGAGAAGGAGGCTGTAGCTCAAAGAAGGCTTTGTTCTCTTCACCATAGCTTCCTATGCATATTGTATCACCACGACCGTGCCATGTACCATCTTGGACATTGTTCATCTCCAGTGTTCTGGACTCCTGCTCCATGTCAACAAAAAGAACGAGCCAAGGACTATGAAATGTTTGAAGAACTTAAATTTAAGCCACAATTTTACTTTGATTCTTTAAAAATATTACTAATTGAAAGAGACTCTTTTGCGTTTTTGGATGTAGAGTCACCAAATAAAAAAACTCAAAAAGTTTGAACACAGTTTGGCGAGGACAAGAACCTGGGATAATGTACAGCACGAGCAGATAAGATGATAGACGCAATCATCCAATAAGCTATCATTACCCTGTAAACAAACGCAATTCCCAACAAAAGTACAATTTTAGTAAAATTGAAACAGAAGTGTTAGATGCTGGGAAAATAAAAGTAGAATATAGAAAAATTAATAGCAGAGGTCTATAACCAAAATAAACATAAACAAAATATCAGGAAAGCACACAGATGTCAATCATATACTTTCAATTTAAGAAGCTAGTCTTATTGAGAAAATAGATCAATTGAACACCATTTTTTACAATTGACGCAATTGACTACATAAGCTGATGATGAACAGGATCATAAATATTAATCAAGCTTTATAACTCTTATATGCAGAACAAAAAACAGAAGTTCAATACATTGACAATGCCACCATAAAGAGGAATCAAGAAAAATTATAGGGACCGCCCATGAAGCTTTGGCCCCAGTGGTAAAAGGGCAAGCTATGGCTCTAACAAGATCCAAGGTCTAAATATCAATCATATATTTGGGCTCTTGTAAATGCCATGGAAAGCACCATGTACATATTTCAAATATTACGCAAAACAGCGTTGACACCTCATTGAAGCTTTGGAGTCATAGTCCATGAGAACTTATAACATCCTCAGTATAAAGAGATCAAACAAGTCAATTAGATATATGGAAACTACTCAACAGAAGAAAAATCATAACATCACTTATCATTAGACCCTAAACTTAGAAAAGAATCAAACATGATAGAAAAAGGTTCTCACCTTAATATTGAATTTTCTTTTCATCTGTGTACGGAAGAAACCCAAATATGCTCCAACTGATATGATGAAAGCAACAGCCAAATACAGAAAGCAATTCCGCTTGGTGACAATAAAGGCAATGAAGTTGAGGAAAGCACTAACAACAAGAATGAAATAAACAGTTCCCTGCAAAAGCACATTAAGAATTTAGGGGGCACATCCAAATAAAACATCATTAGCAATAAACTCTAAAGTTCAGGAACTAGAATACATATGCAAATTTCAAACTACCCAAACTTGCATATTATAAGATGACTATTGAAAGTTTATAAGACATATCTGGGAACTGCCTATTTCCACGAATGGTTTTACCTGAAGAAAACAACAACCGAAACCAGCCCGCCTCATGTTCTTCCCAAATCTGTAGCAGGGGCAACTGCAATATCAAAGCACACTATCACTCAAATATAATATAATTACCACTTACCAACCCCATCAGTTTTATAACATCAAAACAATAATTAAAAAGGAAAAAAAAACACTATCAGCTAAACCTTGTGATGGGGGAGTAGAAACTCAACTAAACAGCTAGAACTGGTTAATCAACCAATTAAACAAGCTCAAGAGATTAAACAAATCATTTTTACACTAATCAAAATGATTAAATTATTGCTGAGCAAAAACAAAAATGACTAAAATTAATTACTTTTGGGGCTAAAAAATTTTGAGTTGGTAAAAAAGAGCAGGCTTTTCTGTTGATTTAGCTTCATCCTAACACCAAAATAAACCAAAAAAAAAAAAAGGCAAAAGGGAAGTTTTATTCAAACAGTTTTTTGGCGGACTATTAAGAGACCAGAGGAAAATTAGAAAGAGGGAAAACAATACTATTTTTTAATGTTTTCCCTCGAGAAGAAATGTATTTTCTCGGGAAAATTTTATAAGCTTTCCATGGAAAAAAAGTCCAACCTTTATTCTTCAAAATGAAAAGAGAGAACTGACCAGGCAGATTCGAGAGCAACGCGGCGGTCATCGAAGAAATCAAGAACAACTTCACCTTCCCACATCCTCAAAACGCCACCCAAGTTGCCGTTTCCTTGTTCTAAACAATCCTCAGCGCCTTCAAGCTTCCTCCATTTGCCTTGCGTTTGCAAAGCCACCGTCGAACAGAGCATGTCGAAATCCAACACCGCCATTCCCTCCAACAGCCTCTCCTCTTCTTCTTCTTCTTCTCCTCCTCCTCCCTCTTCCTTTCCATTTACAACAACTTTCTCCTGCTTCTCCAATTCCGCCATTAAAACCAAACGAAGGAAACTTCACAGCTTTACGCTCTCTTTCTCTCTCTCTCTCTCTCTTTCTTCTTCTTCTCCTCCTGGGAAGGGCCAAAAAGATCTGCCTTTTCAAGTTGCTTATTTTTTCCCTTATTTTTCTTTTTTAATATTTTGGGGTGGCGCGGGTGATTATTGGGTGTGGGTCCCACGGGTAGCGGATAATGGATCAGACAGCTGTTGCCACGTAGGATCTAGATTATAGGATATTAAGATTCTAATCTGCTATAATTGCTGGGATTAACGTTCTAATATCTACCTTAACCAATTTCTCACCAAAAATAACCACCAAAGAAAAACAGAATAAATCTTGAATTTTGCTAAAAAAATTCCCATCTGTCCTATTTCTTAATATTATTCAGTTATTAGTGCTACGAAACAAAACTGCAGGCAGAGAAAGCAACCAGCTTTTGGCCTGTTACCGTAAGGTTGGAGTTAGCAGTCAAAAGTTGACCAAAGAAACCTTGTTGGGCAATATAGCGACGACGATGGGAATCGAATTCAAGAATCTAACATATGAAGGGAAAGCTTAGGAATTAATTAGGCAGATAGGGAAGGCATGGATGGATAGCCAAGGAACAGCGTGCCCCCAGGAGCCACTAGCCAGCCATGGGGGAACCACACGGGAATTAAAAGCCTCAAATTGTACCCCAAAAGCTATATTTAATTCTATTAAATTATTTATTAGAACCAACTAAATGCAAGATACGTGTGGTGGAAGTGAGGCGGCAGACGGCAGTGGGCGGGGGTGGGGTCTGTTTTAGTGCACCATGTTTGATGACCAGATAAGCTTCCATGATTCCCAATAAAGGCTTTTGAGAGTTATCTCCAAATTTTCCCAACCGCCCCACCCACGTGCATAAAGCGTTTTCTGCTGCAATTGACAAATGAAAGATATATGAAATCTCCCAATCCATGTACTATGCAATTCTAGAATCGATCACTGTTCACCAGGCGCAATTGCATATTGGCCGATGTTGTTTTTTTACTTGCATTTACTATTATTACTAAGCATTTTTTTTTTTTTGGGATAGGGCCACTATCAAAGTCAGGCCGTTGTTTTGTTGACGTTGACACTGACCAAGTCCGCCGAATGAGAATTGGCCCTGCGTTATGCATTATTGGCAACAAGTTCAGACTTCCCGTCATTGTTAGTTTATCTGTTGTAGTACCATATCCTTCTCCTTTAAAGAACGGCTAAGACAGTCTCCAGCACAAGATAAAGAAACAAAACAGCAGCAAGATTTGAACTGTGGCTTGGGCCATTGGTTTTGAAAGGCTGGGCTAGAACCTCTCAGTTCTGCAAAAGGTGGGGATAATCATTTATGAATTATCCGATAACCCCCTAAAGAAACATTTTCCAGCAAATAGATAAAAAAAAGGTGCTCTATATACATTTACAAAGCAAAAGGGTCTTGCCAAAATCCCTCCAAGCTCTATGAAGCTCAACTCCTATATTTACCGTTTTAGATTCAAAGGCCAGAAGTGTAGTCTAAACTTGTTTAAACATGGAAAAAGAAATGGCATCACCATTGTTATTTTAAAATTCACATTAAATGTATTCATACCAGAAGTACAGAATGATGTGTAAAGATAATCTATCCGAAAGGCATAAGGAAATGAAACTTGTTGCATCTTATTTCCCCTTTCTTGTTTCACTTTTTCTTCCACAAAGATGGCTACCAGTAGACTTCCAAAAAGGTAAAAACAGGGTTTTATGTCTTCGCTGCAGGTCTCACAAGCCCCAAGCCCGTACCACTTCCCAAATGCTTGAACTCGGTTGCTTCAAGATGATCGTCATGGCCAGCAAAGCCTGTCCCTCCTTTTTCCAAGGTCACCAAGTTCCTCTCTTTGCATGCCTTATCACAGACCAAACAAACTTTATCCACAGCCATAAACCTGTCAGCACATTTCTTGCAAAAGACATGCCCACAGGAGCTCAGGGCTACCAGCGACAATGTGTTGGTCAGGGTAACCTTGCAGCTCGGACATATATAAGTCTTATCAAGAGAATTGGATTTCTTCTGTTCACTGTCATCTTCAGTGAAGTAGATAGGAAAAAGGCTCTTCAGCTTGAGTTTTTCTTTGCCTTCTGGACAGATCGTACAGGTGGAAGGAGCCTCAACTTTAACAGATGCTTCTGGAGTGGCAGAAGGAAGCCAAAATGCTTTCATTGTCCGGAGTGCTTCCTCTTCATAAGAAGTGACCTTCACACTATTTGCCCCATGGAACCCGTTCTTGTCTCGGCTATAGTTTCTACCATTGTATTGTGGCACTGCACCGTGGTTTTGCTGATCAAATGCATCAAGCTCTCTAGCTTTCTGCAACATCAACTTCTCCTCTTCCTCTTCCTTCTCTTGTTTCTGCTGAGCAGTGTGGGCAGCAAGCCTCCTGCCAGATGGGACGAAAACATGCCATTTAACAAATTATGGACCTCATAAAGGGCAAACTTAGCTGATTCAAACAGGACAGTTTTTATTTTTTAAAAAAAAATTCAGCAAAAGCAGTCCATTTAACTGCAACAGAACCTTGTTGCTTCAAAAAATTTTTCTACATCACGTGAAACGTAATTTTCAAAATTGAAGATTTCCAATTTATGGCGGCTGAATGACAAATAAAAATATGTTAATAAACATTCAAAACACAAGAGGAATAGCAAAGTGGAACAGGACAAAAGGAGAGGGAGGAATAGCAAAGTTACTCTCCTTGCAAGCTTTCAAATCAGTTGCCTAACCTCCTGTATATGGACAATTACTAACAGAAGCTTGGGAAATTATCTTATATCTAATCATACAATTGAATGCACTGATATGCTATAATTGTAAAGCAGATTATGTGAATAAATTGTCTAAGTTATCATCATGAAATGCAACAGACTCAAGGATAATTTAGAATCTTGAAATTCATAATAACATTGATATTCTTGATACAAAACTCATAATTGTAATCATGCTGAAACAAATCACTAATCTTGTAGGAAAATGGCCAGTGAAACTTAAAGAAGACAAATTTGCACATACTACCGAAGCATCCTTCACATCTGCAAATTCAAAAGTTTATTAGAAGCTAAAGAGTCTTTTATCTCTACGATATCTGGTTTCTCTACATCCATCCAGTTTCGTTTCTTCCACTTTCAATTCCATCACAGAGCCAAAGCAAAGCCACAGTGCCAAACCAAAAAACAGAAATGGGGGCCATAAGACTTGTTTCCAGTAGGCTTATTGAATTAAACAGAATGCTGATTGAGGCAGGAACTCAAAAGTTCTTGCCACCACCCATCAGCCATCTTTTTTCATGCAACTACACTTATTCCCATTATGATCCAATAAATGCCTAGAACATCACTTCTAAAGACCTTAGGCCTTAGCTGTTTGCTGATAAACAACCCCTTAACGAAGAAAAATCACAAATTCGCAATGCGCCTCTTCATACCAATTGAATTAAATCCAACAGATAGTTATAAGTTGAATCACACAAAAAATTAATAATATAACAATAAACAAGTAATTAACAAGCTTTACAAACAAAGAAATTGAGTAAAAATACCAATCAACCGCCAAAAGGGTACCTTTGGATGTCCTTCTTCTGGGCTAGAAGGCATTCGAGAATGCATTCTTTGCAAAAGGCGTGACCTTTCTGGCAAGACATGGGATCGATGAAAGGCTTCAAGCAAAGGCAGCAAGCATCGAACGGCTTAATCGAGTCTTTCCCCAACCTCTCCTTCTGCGTCCCGTAGCCTAGCTTCCTCTTCTCATCGTACGTGAAGAAGGCTAAATCGTTGTTGTTCTTCGAATGTCTTTGCGGCATCTTCGGTTATTCGACTGGGGAAAGGCAAACCCTAACCCTTAACCTAATTGATTTCAATTGTTATCGGATAGGGAGATCGAGAGAGAGAGCGACAGAGACACAAGTAAAGCCCTAGATATTGCACGAGTTAGAATAGGATCTCCAGCAATTGGATCGGGTTTTTTATATTTGTAACAGAAACCGAACCGACACCTTCCTTTCCTTATTCTAATTTACCTTTCCGGTCTGATTCGTTTTATTGCAATCCAACGGTGACCATAGAGTCTTCTTTTTTCTTTATTTTCTTTGTTTGATACTTTTAAAATATGTAATTATTTTTCATAATCTTCATTTTCGTGAGTAATCCTCCATAGATATTAAATAGTTTTGAGTTACTGACATATTAAATATTTATAGTAAAATATTATATAATTTATATTTTTTAAATTATCTCAATCTTTTAACACATTTTTATCAGTAATTTCTAGTAATATTCCAATAACATAGAGTTGCTGAAATATCAGATTTTTAGTTAATAAAATATATAATAAGCAAATATGAGTACAACTTACTTATTAAAGTATGGTAAACTTATTTAACTTGGGCAATTAACTTTAAGTTTTTAAATTAATAATTTCAAAATACATATATTTATTTAGTAAATTCATAAATATTTTATAATTAACATTTATACATTAACCTTTTAAAACCAGAGTTACTTAATTAAGTCACGGGGTAAGGAATTTCGGACAACGTTCCAAACCAGACGACAAAGAAAGAAAGAGAGAGAGATGAGAATGGCTTGTGGAAGGTGCTAAATCCCAGGAAAAAGACAATACGTTCGACTCTACCCTCCGCGAGAAGACGGATAAGCCCAACCAAACACATTATCCAAAACCCAAAACAGAACTAAGATACTTGCCCGAATTTGAGCTTTCTCATACGTTATATTGACGCCTTTTTCTCACTTCCAACGTGTCTACCCTTCATCACCAACTTTGTCCCAAAAGGAAAACCTGTTCCATGGCCGCTTCGCCCAGGAAGAAAAACCCATCGGAATCATCCGCGGACCGACAGGCTACTGCTATTTTGGTCCAACCATCTTCTCCGAGGTTCCCGGTTACCTCCTCCGGGGCTCACCGTAAGATCGGGATAGCGGTTGATCTTAGCGACGAGAGTGCCTTTGCCGTTAAATGGGCTGTTCACAACTACCTTCGTTCGGGTGACACTGTCATCCTACTTCACGTGCGTCCCACGAGCGTTCTCTACGGTGCTGACTGGGGAGCCATTGACGTGTCCCTTCCTGATGAGGGTGAAACGCAGGAAGCTAAGCAAAAGCGAGAGGAAGAGTTTGATTTGTTCACGAATAAGAAAATAAACGATCTTGCTTTACCATTGGCGGAATCTCGTATACCCTTTAAGGTTCACGTTGTGAAAGATCATGATATGAAGGAAAGGCTTTGTTTGGAGGTGGAAAGGTTGGGTTTGAGTGCTGTGATTATGGGGAGTAGAGGGTTTGGAGCTGCGAAGAGGACTGCAAAAGGGAGGTTGGAAGTGTGAGCGATTATTGTGTTCATCACTGTGTTTGTCCTGTGATTGTTGTGAGGTTCCTGGAGAGAGAAAGAGACAGATGGCTGTGGAAAAGTTGAAGGGAAAATTGGGTTGGATAAAGATGGAGAAGTTTTATGTCCTTTAGTGGAGGAAGAGGAACAGGAGTCCCAGGATGCCATGGATAAACACTCAGCAGGTGTGGTTTTTTAATTCCATAGTTTCATCTGTTATACTGATATTTGTTTTGGAATTTGGGTTGTTTATTAGTTAATGTTTTATTGCATTTTGAGTATGACTTGCATTTGTGCAATTGGGTTCCGATCTGATGTTATGAATTCGAACTAATATGGCAGAAAGTGTCATGGTTGATTATTTTCATCTGAGATCATCTAAGAATGGCACGCACATTGTTGTATTCTTCATTCTATTCAAAGAAGGAAATTGAAGCGGGGAGAGGGATTTTTGTGATTAAAGGATTAAGCATCTCCTAGTCAATGGTGCTATGGCATTGTTGAAAGTGTGAACTTCGGGAAGCTTCCCATCTCTGTCTGTAGCAATTCTGTTCTCTTTATTTGAATTTGTGTTGGTTGCATTGCTGATTTGCATATTGATCAGTGTTATGACATTAATTTTCAATTTCTTTGCATTAGTAGGTTGCACCTGAGTGCCATACCTGTCATATCGATGCACTGCTGTTGTGTTCTGATGATGGCTGAAGGTCATTTGCTTCATAATTCATTTAGCTTGGTGATTAACCTAGGGTACAAATTTGATTTAGCTCTCCCATGTCGATGCATTCTTTATAACTTGTCGTAGTTCCTTAAATCCTTTTAATTCAAAGTGTGCATCCTAGTTAAAGTAGTAAATTCCTTTTCCTGGGTCAATTTTGGTGTTTTATTGCATAAAAAAGAAGAACAATGACATCCTGAAATTTCTAACTTTTTAGTTCTGCTCTGTTTCGGTTAAGTTGACAGTTTCTCGCTGTCTGTTGTTTGCACGAAATATGTATTTGTTTGGTGCCTCACATGCAAAATAAATGCTCTTGTTAACCGTAATATTTAAAGCAGATTCCTATCAGTGTTTGCTTTCTCGCTCTCTCTCTCTCTGTCTCTGTTGATTAATCTTCTTCCAACCATAACTGATCAGTGACCCTTTCTAAGACTAGTTCATGATTTTGGTTTACATCCATTAAAATCGTAGGGGTTTAAGACCTTTATCTGTTCTACCATTAAATTGGTACATGTCAGCATCGTTCATCTAGCATACGGATGTATGGAAGGCCTACATCAATTTTTCCAGTTTAAAGATTGTGTCAGGGGCAGGAAGAGCTCTGCCTGATAGAACAAACTTCTTTACAGGCCAGCATCCCTTGAGAATTCCAATGTTCTTTTGCACCACTAGTGGGGTTGTGGGTCTCTGGGTGGATCTTCCTTGAATTTATCTGTGCTAATAGATAAATAGGATTCACCCTCCAGTGCGGTACTTAAACCTACTGTCCATGTATTTATTTTTCTGAATGATTCACTCTGCAGTCTGCAGTGCCTTACCTTAAATCTCCTTACGAAAACAACGAATGAACAAAAAGAGACATTTTTTCTTCCATTGTGTTCCTAATTGAAATGAAGATCTAAAACTAGTTATTCTTTATTTTGTTTAGCCAAATATTCCTAAGTTTGTTAGTTGCAAAAGGGCAAATGGTGCACTTATGGTAGTCAAGTGAAATTATAACTCGCATTTCCGTGGAATAGTTGCCTATCGAAGTTTATGTTACATTTGTCCCTCTTTGTTACAGTTATTACTTTCGTTGGTATTACCTCATATATAACCTTTGTGTATCTCTTTCTGGTAACTTCTGCTGTGCATCACACCCGAACTATGTCCTGGGCATCACAAATGAGTTGTGCTCTTGTAGCCTTTTATTTGGGTAGTTTGTTGTTGAGAAACTGAGATTTAGGATGACAAAGCAAGATATTGGCTATGAATCTGAACTAGCACTGCAATCTGGGGTTTTATGATGTTCCATATTGCCTGTAAATTCTGATGGCTTCATATGGAGGGAATACTAGACTACTCTTTGTTTTGATAGAAGTTGTGGCATGTTCCCTGGCAAACCTGGATCTACTACAAGGTTGTTCCAAATCAATGTTCCTGTTAGATCTGGTTTTGGGGCAATTTGGAGCTTTTGATTGACCTTAAAAGCTATCTTCATGCTATATGTATCTACAACTTGTACGTCTTTGTGGTCATCAATATGGTAAATATAACGCAACAATTAGTCTGTCCATTAATAACTTAATTGGTGGTGGGATCTGATGGATCACCCTGAAAGTGTATCCAAGATACTCATAGCTCTCCAAAACTATGTAACATATTGTATCTAGAATAAAATGAAACATATAAAGAAGATTGGTGTTAATTTGGAGCCTTTTTCTCTAGTCTAGAAACAATGTTAACTAATGAAATCGAACTTGTTAAGTTCCATTCAGCTTGAAACCTGAAGAAGTTATTTCAGCCAAATACTAGCATTTGGCTGTGGTTGATCAGTCTGATTAAAACGTGCAAAGAGTTTGATGTTTTATAGTGATTTGATCAGTCAAGTTTAGTTTATTTTTTTCATGAACCGTTGTGTGCTTCTATGATTCTCTCTCTCCTCTCTCTCCCTCTCCTCCTCTCCCTCTCCCTCTCTCTTCCTCTCCCTCTCCCTCTCTGCTAGGTGTTATGGCTTCCTTGATCATGCTGCTGTGGGTGAAATTTGACATCCCTTCTATTTGTTGCAGATATGCAGAAGGCTTCATGAGCAATTGCACGGCAAGGAGGATGCTGAGGCGTTTAGAAGTTGGAATGGTATTTAATGGATGTCCGAACCGCTCTTGTGTGAAAATGTTTGTGGTACCGTTATTTTGTTTCTACAATATATGCCTTTGCATATCTGTAAAGTTTGGCCTGATAAATGAGTGATCCGGAGATCATCAATTTGTGTTTGTGCTTTTTGACTTGGTCAATATAATTAGGCTGCACCATATTTACGACATGGTGAGACTTGAAAACATTTCTCAACACAATGCATGCATAACTGAACTAGGTAACCAACAAGTCAACAAGCAAAAGCCGTATGAAATCCGACAGAGGATGATTTTGTTTCGTCTGCATCATGTTTTGCCCATCTAATCACATAGACGCAAAGGCTTTTTACTTGTTTAGAAGGGTATAAAGTAAACCGTCGTTTCTGAGATACACTGACCATATGACGCATGAGGCAGAAGAATATATATTAAATCCACCTCCTTGTGGCTGTGAAATAGAGACCAGAAGAAGAAGAAAAGGTAAAGATTCAACAGCTTGGGGAGAAAATGGAATCCAAAGACTGACCAAAGGCATCCAAGAAAAGGAAAAACATCCTTCATTGTTTCATCTCCATGGCGGTGAAATTTCTTCAGTAGGATACGCTAGGGCCACCCAAAAATTTTCTCCCTTTGCAAGTAACCATTCCCCACCAGAGACATAAAAACTAGCTCAACCCTTTAATTGATTCCCCCTTCCTTTTACATTAATGTAAAGCTTTTGTTAATACTTAAAACTAATACTACTAAGCAACTTGCAAATGTAAATATGTACCCATGATTATTTTATGGTAGGGTAAGCATGTGGAGGTGTCGGAAGGTTTCCTTCATCCTCCAAAATCGTGCCTAGGTAGTTTTTCTATTCAGTTGTTGTAATCATACGTATCATAGCATAATCACATTCAGGATATCGGATTGATCAATCATCTTCTCAATCCTTAGTGGTTGGCGCCTGGTCATGTAACCCTTGGAAATGGGATGTGATGGTCGGTTATTAAAATATGTTAATTAAGTGTGAAAGAGATGGTGGGATTGATGCAAAGCTGGCCTATGATTGGAAATCCCAAGATATTGGTAAGATTGTAATCATGGCGAAATATGTATTGACCCTTTTAATTTATTCAACTCTCAGCAAAGAGAGTAGATGGGGAAATGCATGCCCATGTTTGGCGCTCAGGGATTTGCAGCAGAAAGGTTTTGATGGAAATTTTCACCCAATGTAAGGACCTACAAAAAGCTTGGGAGAGCCTAGTCAAACAGCAGTGATATCCAAAGAATAAAAGCATCATTAACTTTGTCACTGACATGAAGGGATAGAGTGTTAGCAGGCTTGCACCAGTCATTTTCCTTCATTTACTTGCTATGTTTTACTGTACGATTTATAGATATGACCCTGGAAACGCGCGAGGACCAAATGAAACCACTGGCTCTCACTCTAAACTCGAACCATTCAATTTTTATCTCTCTCAAGCTCAAGAAAAGCAAAAAAATGACATTCAAGACACAAAGGCAATGAACCTTGCCTGTGCTTGTGCTTAGTGAATTTCATTGAGAAAATGACTTGTAAAACAGGAGAACTAAACAAAAAAAGTAAAAGAAAGGAAAATTTGTGGCTCATGCAAAAGAAGTATTCAATACCGCCGCCTCCCTTTTTCAACAGTTCTTTGTGAATCTCATGGTGAAGAAAATGGGATTTTGGATTTTTATTTGGTCAACCAAATGCTCTTGTTTGAGTGCAATTGGTGTCCACATATGCTCAACAAAAGGGGTCCCGGCTGCATAACTGATATTGCCACTTGTTCAATAATATTCTTCTTTCTTCTTTGAAAAAAAGAAAAAAACACCCTTGTACGTGAGTTCTTCTCAGGTGTTTGAAGTACTCTAATCCAAAAATTGGGTAAATTCAAGGATACCAAATCAAGAATGGTGAGATGTGTAGTAATAATCTTTGTATTTGATTCCACCGAGTGTGTTGGACATGGAAAGGATAATGGAGTACTGTTTGTTGGTATGGAGATGGGGTGCTAATCTTCTTAAAAAACTAAACGCAGCTATGGCAAATACTGTTCATTACTTCATAGTTTATTCAGTAATCTGATCATTACAGTGCAGTTCACCACTTTAAAAACATGGTAGCTGATTGTCTGATTCCTAGAAGGAACATGTGATCCTAGGTTGAGGTTGAAAAAAATAAAGTTTATTATAATTAAAGAACAGAATTTAGTAGCTGTTACTTCTTTCTTAGCCTCCAACACTTACAACTATACATTGGTAAAATGTGCTTTCAGCTTCAGGGTAAAACTAATTAGCTGATATTAATTTCAACAAGAAAAAAGAAGAAGAAAGAAACACATACATTTCTCAGTTAAATACACCCAATACAGATCAATCAAGGCTGTCTTAACTTCTAATTAGAGAAAAGTTACCTAATATTGAAACGAAAATTAAGTAGTCAGACAAAAAAAAATGCCATTAACATCTGCAGCAGCTTGTGCTCATTTTGGAGATATCAAGCAGTGTTTGTTCCACTTCTTCATATGTCTGCAGCAGCTTGTGCTCATTTTGGAGATATCAAGCAGTGTTTGTTCCACTTCTTCATATGTCTCCAGCAACCACGCCCTTTTGTAATTGCTTGGGAGAGTCTCTGGCTGTTATTTCTGGTCTTTTAGTGACTTGAAGGGATCTAAAGAAGCTGATTCATTTGACAAATTCTGGGTCTGGTGTTGTGGAGAAAATGAGTAGCCTGGATCATCAGCCTGCTGAAAAAACGGGACATCAGAAATGTCTAAAATCAGGCACTGTGATTGAGTTAATGAGAGATACCAAGATTTATCAGGATCATTAAAAGTGATTCAATGGATAAAAAGGATGGCTTACTCGAGAAGCGGGTTCTTCAGTCTCACGCATGCGCTTCAATGAAAGAACTGTTCTCGATTGGGAAGTACCTTCTTGGACGCAGCAAAACCTGGTGGAACATTCTTCACTTGTTGAAGAACTGGAAACTGGTGGTGTAGATGACCATGGAACCACTTGATTTTCTTCATCATCGCCGTTATCACCATCATCATCTTCACTGTCATCTTCCCCATCAAGATCATTATCATCATCATCTTCATCTTCTTCATCGTGAGTTTCCTCATTGTTTCTCTCCTTCCTACAAGCATTTCTGTTGACACAATTATCGCAAACAGAAACAGTCGGGCCCAGCTTTGGTCCCGAGCCATTCCAGGGAGTAGGAGATTGACAGATGAGGCAAAGAAGTGTTCTTAAATGCTTAGCAACCAGAAAATTAGCACCATGTACTCTGGAGTCACAGTCCCAGCACAAGATGGCTTGATCTGATTCACAATACATCTTTGCCAGAGAATTGCAAAGTTCACACTTTTTCATTTTCTTCTTCTTGTTCTGAGAGAGAATTGCCCTCAAGCTTGAATTTCCATATGCATCACTACGTTTTATGCCTATGTGTTCTGTTCTGTTCTGTTCCTGTTAGTCCACCCCTAATGCTTTAATATGCATAACACATGCTCAAAGGGCAACTTGGCAAATGTTTATTAAATGTACAAATACCCGCTCTGCCTTTTTTTTTTTAATTTTATATTTCTATAAACATCACATCCTTTTTGGATATGGTAAATCTTGCTTTTGAGTTGGAAGTAATGCACCAATAACCTAGGTCCTAGAGTAAAGTATGGCTATCTTTGTTTGAAATTTGTCAGTGACAGTCAAGTATATTAACAACTCCAAGCCATGTTTGCTTAATTGACTTTAAAAGTTCTCCAAGAAGTTTGGTAACTTAGAAGCCATGGATTGTTTATCAGAATATAACCTAACTAAACTTAAAAGAACTTGATTCTAAGTAAACTGCAAAATGACTTGAGTATTTGACTCAATAATTTGGTGTATGACAAGAATCTTTTCCTTCAAATAAAACAAAGGAAACCATCAAAACAAGGGGCCAAATTTGCATTGTATTTTCTTAGGTGGGATTTGGTCGTCTATTGGACATTCAGTACCCACCCAGATCTTGCCAAATCATATTCTATTCATCAGTTACTTCGTGATACTAATCTTAAGCCTGGGGGGTTCAGGCGTCCAGCACTGGACCTAACAATACAATCATTTCTTCTCTTTCAGTATCAAAATCTCTGCTATTAGGCATGAATTTGATGATGAAAGATAAGCCCTTGGCCCATGTGGACCTTCTGTCAAATTCATTACTGCCCTTGGCGGGCTCGGCTAGGTACAGCAACTCCCGTAGGACACCTGTGTGAATCCCAGTGACCTATCAATTTTTGCGGTCATCACGGTAGTATTTTACTAATTTCTTCTTAGGAAGAGTTGGTTGGGATGGTTCCCAGAGGTTGACGTTTCTTCCAGTTGCATTTGTCAGTCAGGTTTTCATCTCTTGTCTGGTCTACATATTGTCTGGTCGAGAGAAACGTGCTTTGCGTTCATCATTGGCGCAAATTAGGCCGAGATAATGAAGAATATTCTTATTGGGAATTATCAAATCATATCTGTACAAGGATTTTCTTTCAATCTTTCCCAACCTTTTCCATCTGCTGTTACTACACTCTCACTAGATTTAAAAGCTTTGAGGTTCCCAAGCTTTTTGAGTCCTCCAAACACTAACAACTGGGTAAAATCTTGGATATTCGATTTCAGCTTTTAATTTAAGGTTTTCTGGTAGCTGGTCATGTGACAAAGTCTAATCGAATGTTTTTAATGACTTTGCAAAATGTGTGGCTGCTCTTGTTTCACCTGTAGTCTTCCGCTTCTGACCAACCTGATGGCTATTTAGTTAAATGTTGTTGTCAGGTATAGACTAGAAAACCACGCGTGGAAGCAGTGGATATGTTCACACCTAAGTTCAACTCCCAAAGCTTAAAATCCTTTAATGTCTGTTCGAAATGCAGCAGGATGACTGTTTGTGGCCTAGCTGGTGTCTATTTCTGCTGGCAAGAAAGCAAGTTACTATAAGATATGGATGAATAAATCTTTTCCTCCAAGGTCCGAATTCGAACGAGGTGGGGAAAGAAAATTTGTGGTTCAGGTTGAGAAGAGAAAAAGATTCATGTTGCCATTGAGCCCGTGAAGATCAGCTTGTCATGCCTTTTGATCCTCGACATGGTGGTGGACCTGTAATATTGCATTTTTGCTGCTGCAAATGTGGACAAGGTTAAACTTTCTTCCATCCGGTGGCTGAGAAACCTATTGTTTTGTTTTTTTCCTTCCCACTTGAGCATGAAACTGAGTGATTAAAAAACAAAAAGCATCTCTTTATTAAAGATGTGAACTGTGAGAGACATTTTAACCGTCCACCAATTCACTCATGAAAACAGCACAAGCGGGGCCCCGAAGGACATCAGGGCAAGATTCTGAAGATAATTTTTACTATACATAAGATTCATTTACACTGGAACTCTATCCAATACAGATATTAAGAATTTAATGCATGGCACATGTGGGAAGTCATGCTTTTTCTAGATCAAAACTTGATGACCATGGTTTCTGCATATCGCCAATTTTTCCATGCATGGGTAGTTGGCTAGCTTGAGTTGTGTAAAACAGGGCATCTGTTAATGGGAAGCAGCATACACCAGGAAATAATTCCAACCAGAGAATTTGCTCTGTTTTTCTTTAACAATTTAAAATATTTACCTGGTAACCACAAGCTAGGTTTACACCAATAATTTCATTAAGCAATAATCTTCTAATTCTCAAATTAGTTTTAGTTAGCCCTGTGGTTGCTTGGGGCAGGAAAAAATTTTGAAGAGTCCACCCAACTAGCCTATACTGATTTTCTCAGTGCATAGCCATTATGTTTTCAGATTGGACTCTTTAGCTAGGCAACAAGCCCAGAATAATCTGACCCTGGCCGTTCTTCTTCTTCTTCTTTTATTATTATTGTTTTCCTTTAGGAGTGAGATTCGGAGAGTTCTGAGTTCTGAGGGTCTGTCCGATAAGCCATTGCAAGTAAAAATATCTTCCAGTTTCAAATCGCCAAAACAGTATGGACAATGATGTCTTCTGTCTTGTTTGTTTCCTCGTTTGTCCATTTCTTGTTCTTTCTCTCCTTTTTGTCTCTTGCTAACTTGTATATTACAATAAAGATATAGAAGAAACTGGAATTCTAAGCCAACTCAACCCTATTTTAGCATTTAAAAAATTACTAAAAACCAATGGGAACAGTATCATAGGCAACCCCTTGGCATCAATTTCATCACCTATAAGAACACCGGCTCATTGATTTTGGTAAGGAAAAGTTTTAAAATCTCATATCAGGGAAAAGAAATCACTAAAATGGAAACAATAATTGAGAAAAGAGAAGCTGCATTGACATTTTTTTTCCAACAATTGATCACGGAGTAATTGGCTGGTAAACAATGGCCTAGAACAAGAAGAACACTTGCACTTTTTTTTTCTCTGAATGCAAACAAAAGGATTACATTTCGTTAATTAAAGCTTCTACCAACAACTTTCTGGAACTCTTCATCAAGGCAGGGCTCAGCCTAAACATTAGAGTACAAAATTCCATCTCATCCAAAGCACCATCTCCATTCAAATCGCCTTCTCTCAACATGCAAACCAGTTCCTCATCGGTCATGTCTTGCAATCCAAGCAAAGCCAAGTTCCTCTTCAAGCTTTCGAAAGTGATCATCCCTTTGTCTCCATCCATCAACAACCGAAACCCATTGCTCAGCTCCTTCATGAACCCTTCAGCACCTAGTTTCTCCACCATAGCAGGGAAGAAATCCTCGAACACAATCGCATTTTGTGCTGCCATTTTGTGGAATGAAGGCAACCACCACGTCAACACGCCTTAGCCCTAGAGGAAATTCAGATGGAATGTGGGAATAGAGAAAAAAGGCCGATTAGATACATGGGGTATTTATAGTCTCTTCATAAATGCGTATAATAAAGGGTATAGAAAGTCTTAGAAGGAAAGGATACAGAAATGTTGGAGGAAGGATTGTCGATGACAACGAATGTACAGGTAAGAGGAAGTTGTTTGGGAAGGTTGTTGCAGCCGGCATTTTGCTGGGTATAAATTTCGAGGCAGGTTTCGTTTTGTGAAAACGTCCTCCTTCCTCGAAGTTGCATGGGGGAGGTACCAGTTGGTGCCGCAGGCCTTTTTTCCAAGCCATGAGAATAAAAAACTTTTGGTTTTACACTAGAAAAGGCAATTGCTGGAACACACCTACACTATGGCTAAAATTAATAGTTTGTCTAGTTTTGACCCACTAGCAATTTGAGTCCAAAGTCGCACTTTGCACAATGTTACTAGGTATATATATATATACTATCAACTTTGGGTTTTGAATCTGATTGGATAAGTTGGATAAGTCGCTTTCCTCCAGTTCATCCTAACTGATACTCCTACATGGAAAGCACTACTGCTAAATATATGTACTATGTGAATAGAATAGTTGGAAAATATCTTTACAAGATGTTCTTTACATCTTACATCGTGCTTGTGATTATTTAAACTTTGGGAGAATTTTCTCTTCACAAGCTTATGGTCTTTGCATTGAAAACTTCAAGGATAATTTATGTTTTTGTATTGAGATATTGTTTTTTTTTTTTAAAGTTAGAGTTCATTCATAAATAAAGGAAGTCCATATACAAACATATGAGGATCAAAACTGGAAAGATCACTTGTCTTGACCCTCAATTGACAAACTGGTAGATAGAATTACCAGACAAAAAACCCTTGCCTTTTAAACCATTCATCCTAGCATTTACATATAAACTTTTAGCCAACACATTCCCACCAGCCCAAAATATAAAATTAAAAAAGAAGTCAGTAAGACAAGAAAACGTAACCAGCATGCGTGTTTCCTTCTCTTGCTGCACCAAGCAAAAATCAAGAACAACAAAATTCAAAACTCCCAATATCACCATGGGCAAGGCTGAACTAAGACCACATTAAACCCTTGTACGCACAAATCATGAATCTTGAAGTATAAAGGAGTCATCAAACCTTGTGAGGAAGTCGAGCAAGCAGACAAAGCATAACATGACAATTAAGGAAGAACTTGTAACAGGTTTGTGGCTCTTTCCACCCCCAATTTGGCAAGGCTGTCTGTCAATTCATTCCTAGATCTCGGGATATGAATAATCTGCCATTTAGGAATCTTACCAGCAGAGCTTTGATTTTTAATACTAAATTTCTAAGGCGCTAGGGAGAGGAAAGTGGTTTTGAGACTCAATTAACAGCATTTAAAGAATCAATTTCAATAATTAACTTAAATTGATGATACCAATCTGCTGCCATAAAAATAATTAAAGCATTTCGAATAGCTAATATTTTCGCAAGATTGGCATCACCCCAACCCCCTGTTTTTGAAAAAAAAAATTTCACCATGCCTTTATCATTCTTTAGCACACCCCCAATGCCAAGAGGACCGGAGTAGCCCTTAGCAACCCCATCAGTATTGGGATATTGTTGAAGTGAGAAATTGTTGTGTTCAGGGTTTCAGGTAATTTCTTTGTATTATTCATCTGTACATTGACCATGAAATTAATGAGGGTTAAGAATGAGCCTTGATGCTTTGTTAATCCGGTTAATAATGAGAAACTTCTTGTGAGAGTTCCATTTTCCTATTATGAACTGTCAGTCCAGAGAGTGTTTGTCTCTTCTAGTTTCTGAAGGATGGTGGTAATTGACCAAAAGTGGAAAGGAAATAAAGGCAAATGCACCGGTAGAATCTGACAACTACGGTTTTTATCAAATCATGAAAGGGTGCTCTTTTGCATTTGAACTGTTGGGTTAAATACTGTCAGTAGATTTCAATTCAGAGTCTACTTGATTTCCATGGGGCAAAATTTAAATCCTAGAATCGACCCTGACACCCTTCTTCATCATTTGGTTTCTCTGAGATCTTCCTCTGTGATATGTTAATTGGGGTGCTAGAAACTTGCAATTAAGTGATAGCTCTAGAATCCTAGATTTCTTTGTTCCATTGTTCAGACCAAAGGAAACAATATTTTCTTTGGCCAGAGGCAGGGGAGGTGGGCGGAGAGCGATAAATGGCTGTTTCCAACTCTGTAAAGGCTGGTTGCGTTGGAGTAGGAAAGCTCTCAATCTTGCTGCTAAGCATTGAAACAATGTAGACATGTTTGATCTATCTTTTACAAAAATCTTGAACGCACAGCAGTCCAATATGTATGCATCTCTAAATTTCCCCATGGAAGCATGAATCAAAGATCGATGGATCGATTCGCATCTTGTCCTAATTCCATGATCTCCAGGCCTGAAAAGTGCAAATATATTAGTTGTGAGACAATGAACTATATATGGAGGCTTGCTTGATTGAATTACTGAATCAGTTAGACTTAAATGTTCCAAAAGGCTAGAAGAATGCTCATCATCAAGAAAACTTGTGTTTCTTCTTCTACCAACGATGTCTAAGGCTAATACCCGGAAGCTAAGTACATCAGATCATATTTCAGAAACTTGCCCTCTCTTTGCATATTGGAAAGACATGTAACCGCTGCATTGAATAGCTAAAACAATCCTTTTAGCTCAAACAGTGTAATAACATGCTTGACTGTAACAAGAAATTAGCGGCTTACTATGTTCCAACAACTCTTCTAGTGTTGACATGATCTTCATTGTTTTTGAAAATCCGTGTTATTTCAAAATTTGAATTTTTTTTTAAATAAGGACTTTCATTAATCAAGGTAAAAAGTCCTTATAATTTACAAAAGATTTTAACTTAAAACAAAGGTCAAATACCAACTTGGTTTACAAAAAATAATTTAGACCAAAATTTGAAATTTACTCGTCTTTAGATCTCTATGTATAATTCATAATCAAGAATCTTTATGAAAATAAATGATACCCAAATTTAATTATTCCTTTTATCATGATGAACATTATTGTCAAATTAAGAACACATTCAATTTGTGGAACTTAGTGAAATTGACATTGAAAAGGAAAAGGAATCAGAATTTGAGTACTGTTAGATGTGCAAATAATTCCACAAATTTGAGTATGATGACATGGTAACTCGTGACAGATGCTGAATTGACAACCTGATGGTTAGCTTGTGACATAACATGCACGAACCAAATTATAACATAATTAAGACTTAGAGGTACTGCATTGCAACCTGCCCAATGTCTGGATGGTTGATGATGCTTTCTCCGTTTTCAATCATTGCAGGCTTCACGTATAATGCCAAATAATTACCCTATTTCACTGTTAATACGATCACCAGCATCAAAGTAATTATATTGGCAGAATCATTTGTCAATCCTTTTGATCTACGATACTGTTCAAGGTCAATCCTTCTTTAGCAGTAAGCAATGAACGTTAATCAAGAACGTGATTCGGAAAGTGCAAATAGGTTTTCAATTCAATTAGGTTCCCTGGAACTAGAAATGCCAAAGTTAAAACAAAGGTTTGGACTGATTCATGATCATCCGCTGCTGTCCGGACATGGTCGTTGGATTGTGTTGGTGTTTGTCTCCATTTGCTGTCGTTTGTGAACATGGCAGAATGACCATAAGAATTCTTAATGATTCTGGGTTTCTACTTGTAGTAAGGCTATTCTAAGTAGGGAAACAGACATGACAAAAAGGTTCTGCAGACAATTAGATTAACTAAAGCAGAAAACTTTGCTCTTCGCTTCAAATGAGTCTGAGGAAAAAGAAACATAACGATTGATTGAAAACAAAATGGTTGGAATTGGGTTTGTCCGGCCTGGTACATGAAAAAGGGTGGAGGTAGTGAACCAAGCTTGGACAATATTAGCCCAACGTCTTAATTTCGCCATTGGAGAAAAGAAAATGTACTAGGAGACTAGGACTCCAGAATAAAGTTACAAAAGTCTGCCTCTAATTGGCAAACGAGTGAACAAAAAAGGTGATGAACATTTTCTTGACAAACGATCTAGAAATTGACAATAGCTTCTACCAGCAATTTTCTTGAACTGTTCATCAACTCAGGACTCAACCTAAGCATGAGGGTGCAAAACTCCATCTCATTCAAAGCGCCATCCCCATCCAGATCACCTTCTCTCAACATGCAAACCGCCTCCTCATCACTCATATCTTGCAAACCAAGCAATGCCGAGTTCCTCTTCAAGCTCTCGAAAGTGATCACCCCTTTGTCTCCATCCACAAGCAACTGAAACCCATTGCACAGCTCCTTCATGAAACCTTCAGCACCCAATTTCTCGACCATGGCGGGGAAAAAATCTTCGAAAACCACACCATTTTGGGACCCCATTGTTTTGGTTTAAACGTAAAAGAAAGCTATTGGGTTTTGTATGATTTTGGAAGTAGAGTCGGTACGAGGTATTTATATGTGATTTTGAAGAGAATAAAGCCAAGGGGGAAAAAAAAGAGAGGAAGTGTTCGAGGAAAGAGTGGTAATGAGAACAAAATAAAGGTGCAGATAAAGAAATGAAGTTGTATGAGTAGGTTGTCACTGCCCCCGGTAGTTGCTGCCTTTGATTTGTGGCTTTTTGTGTCTCTGAAAATTGTCCTCCTTCCTCGAAGGTGCATGTGGGATAGCTGTAGGTACCACTAGCTTAATTTGGTCATGCAAGTATTCTCTAGATAGAGACCCTGTCTTGCATTGGATGCCAATTTTACTAGAGTATTGTAACACCAAAAGTATCTTAAATTTATCAATTATCATTAGATTTTCATGCATGAATATCGATTTTCAAATATAATCAACATTTGTAATTTTGTCATTATTGATTATCAAATTAATTTTCTAATTTAATCAAATTATATTGATTATGAGATTGATGTAACTTGATTTTCTGGTCTTGTGAACATTGGTAGAGTTAGCTTTATAGTGGCTTTCTCTTTCATTGAGGTAAGTTATGTTGATCAAACAGTAGTGAATTTGTTTGCCAAATCAAGATATCCAATGACACCCATGGATGGGACAGGTCTGGGTCCTATACGTGGGTCGTCTTTTCCCGGCCAGATGCCAAGACTGCTGCCCTTTCACGGCTCCCCTTTGTCACCTTCGTGGTTTGCTGCCCCACATGAAGTTTCAAACCTATCCACTGCCCCCACATGAAGTTTCAAACCCATCCGAAAGAAACCAGATCATACAAAATCAACCGAAATTACATAAATTTTTTATAAATTCTTTAAAATTATTGTAATGAAATACCTTAAAATTGATATTTGTACTATCTGATTCGATTATAGAGAGTAAGGTATTTATAATCAGTTTAGATAAAAAATTATTACTCGTTATTATTCTAACAATAATTTTAAAATATTTATTATTAAATCTAATTATAAATAATAATTTTTAATACCTAATTATATATATTATTTATAAATTCTTTAAATTTATTGTAATAACTTATTAAAATTCTTTAATTGATTAAATATGATTTTAAATTTTATTTTTTTAATAATATAAATAAAAATTAATTTTAATTAGGTATATTTAACAGGTTCAATTATTTAACAGGTAGTTTTTAAGATATTCAAGTAACAATTTTAAAATTTAATCTGATATTTATTACATTCAGATATTTTATCAAATAATAAAATTCGAATTAAAATATATAAATACAAAGTCAATTTTGATATTGGCCGTAACGTTTGTTTTGGATGGGTTGGACAGTACGGTTTGGCCCATTCCTTAACATAGTCGTAGCCTGATGATTAATTAGGCATATGGGCTGCTAAATTGGACTAACCTCTAACGTTACATCGCATTCTTTGAATGGTTTTGTTGGGCTTCAAGAATATAAATATGTAGGTCATAGTACTATTTGTTTAATATTAATTTTTGTTATATTGCTTTATATGTGTATAAAACTATTATTTTTAATAACAAAATAATAAGTAAGAAATAACTAATATAATAAACAATTTTAAACGAAAAACACTTTATGTATTAGCATATGAAGTAATTAAACTACATTTACTTTCCTTCAATTTAATAAATGACTCTTTCATTCTAGTTATAACATTTAAAAAAATCCTTAAATTATTTTAAAAAATTAAATATATTTTTTATATTTTATTATATTTAATAAAGTCTATATAGTTTTATTTTAAGTTAAATAAAATTTTACAATTAATGATTGACTTAATTAAAATATCATTTGTCATTTTATATCACTTGATGTTGATGTGACATACTAACATGTTATAATAAATGATGATATGACATATTGATATAGTATGATGATATAATCATGTGACATTTTTTACTTTTTTCATGAGTGTTATATCAACATCATGTGTACTTAAAACGATAAATGATATTTTGACTAATGATAATTAATCAATTATTATTTATACGAGTTTATTTGATTCAAAATAAAAGTATAAATATTTAATTAAATTCAATAAAATAATAAATTTTATTTAATTTTTTTTAAATAATTCAAGAACTTCTTTTTAAGTATTATGCTTCTATTCTATCTGTTTTGATGATACTATGTTCTCACAAGAGAATTATTTGACCTAACTTGGAAATATATATATAATTTTTTTTTCTTTTGATGACATATATATTAATTTGTTATGTATATCTTCTTTAGCATGAGAGTCGTTGACATGCCAATGTTTTTGGCCAATTAGCCCAGAAAAACAAAGCTAGCAGGATTTATGCATCATGGTTGCATTTCCTGACAATTGCGAAGTCCGACTCCATAAAATTAAATAAGCCACCCAATGAAAATGGAAATTGACAATAACCCTTCGTTTTCGATCGGCTACAAGATTGTAAGAGGAAAGAATGAACTTAGTTATTGTCAGTTGACAATGTTATTTTAACAACATTCGGCACTAGACAATCACTTGAAATGTTTGGAAGTTGCTTACGTGGAGAGTAAAAGATTTACTGCATATATATATATATATATATGTATATATATATATATATATATATATATATGTATATGTACACACAAAACTCGTTGGAGGTTGTGAGACTCAATTATAGTTCTCGTGGGTAGCATAAAGTTGGCAAGTTCTCTCCCCATTATTATGTTTCTCCTTCTCTTCATGCTGTTCTCTCTCCTTTCCATCACCTCCAGGGCTGATGATGACTACTCCTCTTCCATGGCCAAGCTAGCTGCGGCCCTTCATCCCCTGCCTCGAACTAGGTCCACAAATTCATCCTCCTCCTACTGTGAGTGGCAGGGTGTCGATTGCGACGGTTCCGGGCACGTTGTACAGATTGATCTCAACTCCATGTCTCTCCGTGGTTCTTTACCATCCAAATTCCCTCCTTTCCCTCATCTTCAAGTCCTGTATCTTAAGGACGACTGCTTTACTTGCTCTTTTCCTTCTCTAGAAGAACTCCCTCTCTTGGAGGAACTTCACCTAGATCAGAACAACTTCACCTGAATCCCACCAGGGTTTTTTCAAGGGCTTTCTGGATATTTGCAGGTTTTGATTCTCAGTGAAAATCCCTCTCTAGCACCCTGGAAGAAACCCATGGCATTTACTAGGTTAACAAGTCTTACTTCATTCCTTGCTGACAATACAAATTTGGCGGGATGTATCCCTGACATTTTCGATTCTTTAGCTGTAACGCAACTGAGCCTTCATGGCAATAATATGACTGGAAGATTACCAGCCTCTTTTGGGAAATCCCAGATTAGATATTTGTGGCTTCAGAACCAGAAGTTGGGCCTAACAGGTCCCCTTGATCTATTATCGAACATGACCTTTTTGTCCAAGGTTGGGCTAAACAGCAATCGGTTTTCAGGTCCCATCCCTGATGTATCTAATTGCAAAAGCTTAGAGATATTACAGCTGCATTACAATCATCTCGCAGGAGTTGTCCCTCAATCTCTAGCCTCACATCCTAGTTTACAAGTCATTTCCGTGAATGACAACGTGTTGCAGGGTCCTTTCCCTTCTTTTTTATTTACCAATATGAATGCCAGTGTTATCAATAATAATTTCTGCAGAGTCACTGCAGACCCGTGTGATCGTCAGGTTACAACACCGCTTGAGATTGCAAATGCTTTGGGGTATTGTTATAGGTTATCGTTAGCTTGGAAAAGTAATGACGCATGCAAAATTGGTCATTTGTGTCATGCGACTCAGAGAAGAATATTACAAAAAAAGATCTTGGGAAGCAGCAATGGATAGGAACGATTTCGCTAGCGTTTGCCAATCTAACTGCGTTGCAGTATTTGTTTCTAAATGACAATAACTTGACAGGTTCCATCCCCGATGGCCTGACAAAGTACCTCATCTTCAGGTCCTGGACGTTTCCAATAAGAGTCTCTCTGGGGTTATCCCTGCTTTTGGGCTATCAGTGAAGCTACATACCGCTGTAAATCATCTGTCCATTGCGGATGAGCAAGATGGAACAACGCTAACAGGAGGCACATCGAATTTTCCACCAAAGGGTATGACAGCTGATCTACTTATTAAATTTGATGCCTACAGCTGAGCACTAAAAACGCATTGGACTGCCTAGGAATTGAATCACTTTCTAATTAGTTAAATAAACACTGATAGAAACGTATTAAACTATCTGTAACATCATAATTCATGTTGGATATTTCCTCTTGGACACTGACCATTATTTCGAGTAATTGGAACCTTTGTGATTTTGTCCTTCGCCAGTTTTAACATGAGTAATGATGCGAGGTACTGTAAATGTTTGAGAAGCCGTAGCAAGGCTCAAAACTGATCAATTACCGGTTCAGATTAATCACCCCATTGTTGTAGCTACACATTCTTAGTTTTACTTTACCTCACATTTATACCATGTTTCAATTTACAGGAAAAAGAGGTGGCCTGAAAGTAATTGTCATAATGGCAGGAATTCTAGGAGCAATTATGGGTGTCGTCTTCTGTTTCTCGTTGGAAGGATGATTGCTGGCAATACAGATGTGCATGCATCATAAAGAAAATGTTGGCAAATGTTTCTGACACACATATACTATCTATAACTGCATTTTTCAATTCAGAAAGGAAAGGACCAAGTGATGAGTTTAAGAAAGAAGAAGCATGTTCAAAATTTTTTTCTCTTAATCTGCTTGGGAAATCCCAAAATCGAGTCAAATTCCAGGAGCTTCAACTATTAGATTTTGGGAAACTAGCAACTGCAACAAACAATATTCATCCAACCAACAAGCAGGGGAAGGGTGGTTTTGGTCTAGTATACAAGGTAATGGCTAATTATGAGATACTCCTTGCTCTTGGCCCTTGGGTGTTTTATAAGACATGAATGAAACAGGCCATAAACTGAAATTCTAGCTAGTTTCTGAGTTGATGTTTCCTTGTAGGGAACGCTCCAAGATAGGCAGGAAATAGCTGTAAAAAGACTTTCAAGAGCATCTAGACGGGCTAGAAGAATTCATAAACGAGGCGCTGGTGATTTCTAAACTCCAACATCGTAATCTTGTAAGGCTTCTTGGCTGCTGCACTGATGGAGAAGAAAAGATGCTAGTCTATGAATACATGCCAAACAAGAGCTTGGATATCTTTCTCTTTGGTTAGAGCATTTTGACTCTTTATTTTCGTTTTAAATTTTTTTATTAAACTACTTGAGTGTTAATTTTTTAAAAAAATTTGAAATTGTTCACTTAGATCCAAAAAACAAATTCTTTTTGATCGGAAGAAATCAATATTAGAGAAGGAATCAATTGAGGACTTCTCTATCTTTATAAAGATTCAAAATTACGAATCGTACATGGAGATACGAAAGAAAGTAATATTATATTAGATGAAGAATTAAATTCAAAAATTTTAAATTTTGAAATAACAAAGGTTTTTGGCGGCAACGAAAGTCAAGATAATACAAGGAGAGTTCTCGAAGCATAGTAAGCTATTATTTCTCTATCCAATTTCAAAATTTGTATTAGTATGTTAGCTAAAATAAACTGTCATTTGTTTTGGTGATGAAGTGTAGTGGGTACATGTCTCTTGAATATGCAATGAAAGGATAATTTTTTGAAAAATCTGATGTTTTTAGCTTTGGAGTATTGACCTTGGAGATACTCAGTGGAAGAAGAAACTCTAATTTCCATGATGAGTATTCTTTGAACCTTTTGGGATATCTAAGTCTTGACTTTGTATTCTTGACATTCTACAAGCCCACTGTTCATTATTAGCAATACAAACTTAAATTCAAAACACCCAATTGTTTTAATGCCTTTGGGCTTTCCAGGCGTGGAAATTGCGGAGTGAAGACAACATCTTGGCCTTGGTGGATCCATTGATCTCAGATCCAAGTTTTCGTAGGGATATTCGGAGATGCATGCATATGGGGCTGCTATGTGTGAAAAGCTTTGCGAAAGATAGGCCAACCATGTCAATAAGTGGCTTCGATGCTTAGTAGTGAGATAGAAAACCTTCCTACATCTAACCAACTCCCATTCATTGACAATGGATACCATGGATCACTCACTCACCAGCCAAAAAAGTTATATCGTTGGTAAAATTTGTTGGGTAAAATTTGTTGACCCTCCATATAACATATGCTGCTGATCCTTTCCTTTTTGAGAGTTGAATTTTCGTTAGGTAAATAGCTCACTACACTTTGATATCAACCAGGCAAGGGCCGATCCGGCCCCTCCTAAGTGGTAATTATGATTTCCATAATGGAGACCAATAATAATATGATTAATTAAAAAAAAAAAACTTAACTGTTAGTTTCAAAATCAAATAACGGCATATTCTTTTTCTATGATACTAATTCTAAATGATCACTCCTTTCAACACATATTACATTTTTTATGTTTATAATCCACTCAAACGATTCAATTTAATAATAAAAAGTCGAGAGATTGTTGAATGTGATGAGTCTTTAAGCACAAAGCTTAATCAACATAATATTACTTAGAGAAATAAAAACAAAAATATTTTATATATTCCATATCAAATATAGTGCTTAGCGTTACACTAGCTCAAGTTTTTCTTTTATAAAGGGGCGGGGGATATGCTAAGAATAATACATGCATATAGTATGAATTAGTGAAGTGACGTAGTAATTCGGCCATGGATGCCTACATTCAAAGTATAGACATTGAAATAAGGCTATGGAAACTAACATTGTGGAAACTTAAAGGCTAATATTCAGGAAGGTATCACGACAAGGAACGGTTCAGCAACCTAAGACTTGCCCAAGGTTTTCAACCGTTATGTCCCTTTGCAAGTGCAATTGGATTTCTATTTCCTGTTTCAGAATCGAACATGTCCAAATACTTCATTGTGGCCGGCGGCAACCTTGATGTTGCCCTGTCAATGTCTTTTTTTCTGTTTTCTACTGATAAAAGAAATTGAAGTCCAATCATCGGTAATGATGCGATCACTGGCTCAGGTTTCAATTGAATTCTAAGAAACAATTTATGCGGGAAACCATGGAAGAAACGAGATTTGAACCGTCTTTCCCCTTAACTGTCTGCTTCATCCACCTATTATTTTCTCCTCTCCACTACCGCAATTGCTGATGATGACTCCGCCGCCATGGCCTTGCTTGCGGCGACCATTCAGCCCCCGCTTCCTGGGTGGGGTACCGGTTCCTCTGACTACTGCCAATGGCAAGGTGTCCAATGCCACTCCAACCGTGTTTCCTAGATCGACCTTGACTCCATGTCTCTCACTGCCGTACCATCCGAATTCCCCTCTCTCCCTCAGCACAAGATCCTTGATCTTCCTCAGAATAGCCTGACCGGTTCTTTTCCTTCTCTAGCCAACCTCACTTCTTTGCAGGAACTCCACTTTAAAAAAAACAACTTCACTAGCATACCACCAGGCTTCTTTGTAGACCTCGCTAGTACATTACAAGTTTTGATCCTTAGTGATAATCCCTTTCTGCCTTCTTGGACAATACCCATTGAACTGACCCGGTTCGCAGGTCTAAGATCATTCTTTTGTGACAGGGCAGCTTCCTGGTATTTTTCATTCTTTCCCTCTGGTGAATCTGAGCCTTTCTCAAAATAATTTGTTTGGGTCCTTACCAGACTCTCTCAGGATGTCTCAAATTAAGAATATGTGGCTTCATGACCAGATGCTATCTGGTACTATAGATGTGTTATCAAACATGACCTCTTTGGTCACAGTTGCGCTATATGGCAATCAATTTACAGGCCCCATTCCGGATTTTTCCAATTGCAAGTTGTTAGAAGAGTTGCGACTAGACAACAATCAACTCACTGGAGTTGTCCCCTTATCCCTGGCATTGCATGCTAGTTTGAAAGTTGTTAACTTGACAGCCAACAAATTACAAGGTCCTTTCCCCCTTTTATTGCAAACTCAACTGAACGCCGGTCTTGATGATAATAACTTCTGCACAAATACGGGAACCTCTTGTGATCCACAAGTTACAACATTGCTCGAGATCGCAGTTGCGTTGGGATATCCACTGAAGCTATCTGATTCTTGGAGTGGTAACGACGCATGCAAAAGTTGGCCATTTATAACGTGTGACTCAGAGAAAAGCATTAATACGATTAGTCTAGGGATGCAACATTTTGGAGGAACAATATCTCCTGCATTTGTCGATGTTCCTGGATTGCAGTATTTATACCTCAATGACAATAACTTGACAGGTCCTATTCCTGATAGCTTGACAAAGTTACCCCAGCTGCAGGTCCTTGACGTTTCCAATAATAATCTCTCTGGGAAACATCCCACTTTTTGAACCGTCTGTCAAATTGCGTATCACTGGAAATCCTTTACTCTTTACAGGCACAAATGGTAAGGTTTATGGGAACTGATCTATTTTTGGAGCTAACCTACCACAATATTGCAGATTATGTCATGTTTTGATTTACAGGAAAAAGGGGAGTCATAAGAGTAATTGTCATAATAGCGGCAACTTTAGGGGCAATTGCTGGAGTCTTTTATGCCTTTCTTCTGGGAAAGAGGATTGCTAAACACGAAGGTATACTATCCCTATGAATATTTAGGGAGCTTTAACTTTAAATTGTTTATGAGTATATGACTGATATATTGTTTCCTTTACCTATATTTTTATTCAGCAAGGAAGAAAAGAAGTGAAGTGGTGTATAGAGAGGAACCATCTTCGAAATTTTTGCATAATAATGTGCTTAGAAACAATAAAAACTGAGTCAGGCTGCAGGAGCTTGAACTATTCAATTTTCATAAACTAGCTATAGCGACAAACAACTTTCATCCTACCAAGAAGCTTGGCCAGGGTGGTTTTGGTCCAGTACACAGGGTAATGGCAGCGGTATAGGATCTTTTGTTTCCCTTGATTACTAAGCAACAAGAATTTTCAACAGTATGTTGAACAGTGTATTAGCTGTGTTAATATTACTCTCTAGGGATTATTTCCGGACGGACAAGAAATAGCTGTCAAAAGACTTTCAAGAGCATCAGAGCAAGGGCTAGAAGAATTTACGAATGAAGTGGAGGTGATCTCCAAACTCCAGCATCGAAACCTTGTCAAACTTCTTGGCTGCTGTGCCGAAGGGGAAGAAAAGATGCTGGTCTATGAATATATGCCAAATAAGAGTCTGGATGATTTTGTATTTGGTAAGAGCAAGTTAATGTCTTTTTCTGATATCTTTTCTTACGCTTCATTAGAAAAAACAAAAAAGAAAACAGTAGAATATCTCATCACGATGCACCACTTAACTATTAAGTTGCTGAATTTGTTTCTTCTACAACTTGCCATTCATTTTAATCAAAACGCAGTGGAACAAACTTTATATCGATTCAAATTTTGATACACTTTTGTATCGAGAGATTCTCCCAGGTCCACAAAGACAACCAGTCCTTGAATGGAGGAAACGCTTCAACTTTATAGAAGGCATTGGACGAGGTCTTCTATACCTCCATAGGGATTCTGGGCTGCGGATTATTCATAGAGATCTAAAGGCAAGTAATATTCTTTTGGATGAAGCTCTGCATCCAAAAATTTCCGACTTTGGAATGGCAAGGATTTTTGGAAACAATGAACATCAAGCCAATACTAAGAGGGTTGTTGGAACATAGTAACTACCGCTTCTTTGTCCAACTCTTAGATTTTGACCTAACTTGTTGAGCTAAAATAGTAGCTTAGTTACATTTTAATGGTGAAATGTAGTGGTTACATGTCTCCTGAATATGCAATAGAAGGTCAATTTTCAGAGAAATCTGATGCATTTAGCTTTGGGGTATTGCTTCTGGAGATTATTAGTGGAAGAAAAAACACAAGTTTTTATAAGGACAAGCATGATTTAAGCCTCTTGGAACATGTAAGTCTGAGTGATTCTTTGCTGCAACCAAGCCCTAATCTTCTATAATTAGCACTAGCACTTTCAACTTCTAATGTCTAGCTGCTCCTTAGCTGGGCTACTAATCTGCATTTTTTTTTCAGGCTTGGAGATTGTGGAATGAAGAAAACATTTTGGCTTTGGTCGATCCAGGGATATGTGATCCATGCTTCATGGGAGATAGGCCAAACATGTCAACTGTAGTTTCAATGCTCAGTAGTGAGATTCAAAATCTCCCTAATACAAAGCAGGCAGCATTCACTGACAGGAGGAACCACTATGATTCGGACTCTCTTGGAGGAAAAGCAATGTTCCATTAACAATGTCAGTGTTACAATTGTTGAAGGCAGATAGCAATCTAGGTTTGCACAGTTACTATTGTTAGACAAGTGACTTGGCCAATATTGCTGATAGAAAAAGATAACAGAAACTTTACGGTAGAGTACAACTTCGAAACAATCATAGCTTTTGTCGTTAGACCATGAACTCGATAACCCCTTTCCCATCTGTCAGAGTATTGAATGCCTCTATCGTTCCAGATTCTACAAGATATATAAGTTGATAAATAAGCACTCAGTCAAGCTCTTGCTCATGTAAATTACTTGCTCTTCAGTCAGGATCCCTGTTTGATATGTTGCTCAATGTTCACCAACAACATGAAACCTTTTGATCGAGATGGAAATGGTTGCTCCCCTTTTGTTGTATACTCTGCTATCATTGATCATGACTTGAAGCTTGCCAAATTTCCTTTACTTAGTTGAATTTTCATTTCTGTCTTAAAAGGTTTTCATTACTGTCTTAAAAAGTTGCGAAAATTTGACGGGTGTTGGTATTTGACGAGCATTCATTGAGCCTTCTGGGATATGTCAAGTATAACAATCATTCTTGTGAACCGCGTTGTTCATTAACAATAAAACTTAAATTCCAATGCGTATAACAGTGCTTAATAACATTTGCACTTTTTCAGGCGAGGAAATTGTGGAGTGATGACGTCATTTTGGGCTTGGTAGATCCAGCCATCTCCGATCCAAGTTTTCACCTAGGAAATTTCGAGATGCATCCATGTGGGACTGCTATGTGTGCAATACTTTGCGAAAGATGGGCCAACCATGTCGACAGTGACTTTGATGCTTAGTAGTGAGATCGAGAACCTTCCTACAACCAAGCAATCACCATTCATTGATGAGAAAACTGCCATGGATCGGTACTCTCAGACAAGCCAAAAAAGTTGTAACTTTGACAATTGATCAGGCAGCAAAACCAGCGCCTTTTCTCATATCAGAAAGGAGTTTTTGACAGCAAGCATGGGAATATATGGCAATGTGTGGTGGCTTCAAGTTCCGGGTGTTTCTGCAGTCATTCTAAGGGGACTTTCATCTACTTTACATTGGAATGACTCAAGTCCCTTATCTTCAAAGGGGCTTCCTCTTCAGCCTCTCCTTGATGCCAAAAGGGTGTTTCATGCTTTGGTGGTAGTCTTGTGCAGGCAAAAGCTCTAGAGGAGAAAAGAAAGTCATAGCAGTAAAAGTGCAGTGAAGTTTCTTTTTCTGTTTTTGTTTTTGATACATAATATATTATGAAATTATTATTATTTAAGAATTATAAATTTAATAAAAAAAATTTATTTAATTTATTTATATTAAGATTTTAAGTTAGTTATGTTTTATTAAGAATATAATATTTATTTTATTTAAATTTTTTGTTAAGTATTAAATAAGGTGAAGTAGAATTTTATTAAAATGTGAGTTTATATGAAAAGTTAATAAATAATATTTTTTAAATAAAATTATTTTTTTTAAACTCTTTTTAAAGAGTAAGAGATTTTTTTTTATATTTTTGACATAGTCAATTAAAGTGAAATTTTAATTACTTTTTATTTTGATGAAGTTTTTTAATTTTTTTAAAATTAATAATTCACTTTAATAAAATTTTTAACCTCTTCACAATTTATATCTTTCGTAAAATTCAAGTATCTTCACAACGCTCCGTGTCAATTCTTCTCTTCTTTCCTTTTTGTATCAAATTGCTTGTCGGTTAGAGTAGGGAGGGAGGCAGAGCAGTGAAAAGAAAGGGAGAAAGATGACAAAAGGCTCATGAGTAGTCACGTAAACATATATGTAAGCATGATTACACGGGTCTTTTGGATATTTCCTGTGTGGTTCCAGAGAGCTTTTTTATTGTTATGATACTCTGATGGGGCCAATTAAAAGTGTCATGCATGTATAAATGAAATGATGATGTATACTCTAATGATACCCTCCTTTTCAAAAGGAAAAACCTTTGTTAGGTAAATGACTTGTTCACCACTCACTATACATCTATTTTTTTATTTCCCCTTTTTGAGTATAAAATCACTACATTTGGTATTAAATTTGGAAAGCTAAATGAGATCTGTTACAATTTTCATATAAATTTGTTCGAAAATAGACTTTTTATTTGATATCACCAGCTACCATCAAGCTTCCTTAAAGAGCTTGAAGATACATTATGGAAATTTGTTCAAAAAATACTCTATGATGCTGGTTTTGGTTTTGTGCATAAGATGGGTTACGATGCAAAGATTCTGGGCCATCAGATTAGGCTAAAGGGTACGTATATGACGTATATCGAGCTGGGTTTCTCAATGGAGACATTTAAACACGTATGAACGGGGCAGGGAAAGGGGCAGAATATAGGGGCCGAGGACTTCCATCCTTCAAGGGACAATCGAATAATAAAGACAAAGGCCAAAGAACTTTCATGGCCACATTCATTGCAAATCATATGATTCCAAATCAAACTGAACTGTTTCTGTCTTTTCAAGACTAAGCATTCACAATTACAGTCAATTAAATCAATCAAGTGTCTATGAGCCAAAACCGCGTGCATGCACAGATAGTTAATTAGAGCTAGCCAAAAAGAAAAAAATAAAATTTCTATGAACAAATCAAAACACTGTTGATGGCATTGGTTTGAGAACATTGTCGGAGCTTGCATGGAAGACAAGCAGTTTAGTTATGGACTAGTTAGTGGCAGTGGCACATTACAGCTAGCTCTTCTCTTGCGATCTTGTTTTTGTTTGCAATTTGGTAGTGAGGTAGACAGTAGTACTATCACATCGTCTAAAGCCATCAAAGATCCTGAAGCTATAATCTCTGATGGTGGCGTTTTCCGATTGGGATTCTTCAGCCTTGCTAATTCCACCGACCGTTATGTGGGGATATGGTACAATCGCATTCCTGTACAAACTGCCATATGGGTAGCCAACAAAAATAAACCTCTAAGGGACTCTTCTGGAATCTTGACCATATCTGAGGATGGTAATCTTGTTCTTTTGAATGGAAAGAAACAAATTCTTTGGTCATCAAATGTCACAAATCCAATTTCTAATGCCAGCGCCCAGCTCTTTGATTCTGGAAACCTTGTCTTGCTACGTAGCACCTCTCGAACAATCATGTGGGAGAGTTTCAAGCATCCTTCTAATGCATTAGTGCAAAACGCGAAATTACGTACAGATATAAGACCAGGTGAGAAACTGCAGAAGACGTCATGGAAAAGCCCTTCTGATCCATCTGATGGTAACTTCTCTGCCGGTATAGATCCTCTCAACATTCCTGAAGCTTTCATTTGGAACAACAATCGGCCATATTGGAGAAGTGGTCCATGGAATGGTAAGGTATTTATTGGAGTACCACAAATGTATTCTGTTTATCTTGATGGGTTCAGTCTCATAGATGACAAACAAGGGTCAATTTATCTCACTTTCGCTTTTGCTAACCCGTCTTTATCACATATTCTCTTGGATTCACAAGGAAATTTAGCACTACGAGCTTGGGATGATGAGAAGGGAGACTGGGTGGCAGTTTGGTCTCTTCCAAAGACCGAGTGTAATATTTATGGCCAATGTGGGGCATTTGGAAGCTGTGATTCACTCAAACCATCAATTTGCAGTTGTCTAAGAGGGTTTGAACCCAAGATTATAGAGGAATGGAATAGAGGGAATTGGACTAGTGGATGTGTTAGGAGTAAACCATTACAGTGTGAAAGAGTGAACAACAGAAGTGAACTAGGCAAAGCAGATTGATTTTTAAAGCTGGGGATGATGAAAGTGCCAGATTTTGCACAGTGGTCACGGGCCGGCTTGGAAGATGAATGCAAAGAGTTCTGCCTGAGAAATTGTTCCTGTATTGCCTATGCATATGATGCTGGTATCGGTTGTATGTCATGGAGTGGAAAATTAATTGACATACAGAAATTCCCCAGCGGGGGAAAAGATCTTTACATTCGCGTGGCACATTCAGAACTTGGTAAATTGTTCTATTTTCTTTGATTCATCCTTAACGATCTTATTGCTTCAATTATCTGCAATTTCTGTCGGTCTCTGATAGGTAAGTTCCACTCCACACGCTCCCGGCCCCCTCCAAAATAAAAAAAGGTAGAATTTATATTCTGTTTTGGTAGATAATTCTCATTATCTAACACAATTTTTTGATTTGCAGATAAAAGGACAGATACAAAAACAATTATCATCATAGCACTGATTGTAGGAACAATCATTATACCCATCTGTATATTTTTCTCATGGAAGCGGATACCTAAACTCAGTGGTAACAATCCCTTTGTTTTGTTGAAAAACAAAGAAAAAAAAATGAATTTGAATAGGATACTATGTTGAGCCTTTTCATTGAAATTCCATCTGTTATTACAAATCTGTTATGGTGTCAGAGTAGTGAGCTCATAGATTACTTTTTTTACTCAGTAGCTCATAGATCACTTGCTACTGGTTTTATATCAGCAAGGAAAGAAAAAGGTGCGGAGCAGCGATGGTTCAGTAGAGGAAAGGCACATTCAAGTTTTGTGAGTGATAATGTTCAGGGAGACAACATAAGCCAAGCTAACCTCCAGGAGCTACCACTTTTCAATTTTGAGGAGCTAGCAACAGCAGCAAACAACTTTCATCCTACAAACAAGCTAGGGCAGGGTGGTTTTGGTCCAGTTTACAGGGTAAAATATTGGTTTTCAGAAGGTTACTTATTAGTATATATGGTGCATTTACTTGAACAGACTTTGCTTTTCAGGGAAAATTGCAAAATGGAAATGAAATAGCGGTAAAGAGATTGTCAAGAGCCTCTGGACAGGGGTTAGAAGAATTTATGAATGAAGTGGTGGTGATCTCTAAACTCCAACATCGAAATCTTGTCAGATTACTGGGCTGTTGTGTTGAAGAAGAAGAGAAGATGCTGGTATACGAGTATATGCCAAACAAAAGCTTGGATGCGTTTCTTTTTGGTTAGAGCAAACTCATGCCTTTCTATCTACGTCCCTTTTTATTGTTGCATTAACTTGTTTTATCAACATATACTGTGTTAACCAAATTCCTTGTTTCATTCCTTCTTTTGGTAACATATGACATAGACCAGTCCAACAAGAAATCTTAGATTGGAGAAAACACTTCAACATTATTGAAGGAATTAGTCGAGTTGTTCTTTATCTTCATAGGGATTCTAGGTTACGAATTATTCATAGAGACCTAAAGGCTAGTAACATCTTATTGGATGAAGAGCTGAATCCAACATTTTCAAATTTTGGGATGGCAAGGATTTTTGGGGGCAATGAAAATCAAGCCAACACTACAAGGGTTGTTGGAACCTAGTAAGTGGACATATATATCTCAGATATATAATGCTAAATTAATGTAGCTATATGTGATAAGAAAATATGGTTGTTTTTGGATTTTGAAATGTAGTGGCTACATGCCTCCTGAATATGCAATGGAAGGGCGATTTTCAGAAAAATCTGATGTATTCAGCTATGCCGTCCTGCTACTAGAGATTGTCAGTGGGAGAAAAAACACAAGCTTTTATGGTAATGAACATTCCATTAGCCTCTTGGGATATGTAAGTTTACTTGATCATGGCCTCACATAAGATTTAATCTTCAATATCTGATAGTTCCATTGTCAAGCTAATACTCAGTAATTTTAATCAGGCATGGAAATTGTGGAATGAAGACAACATATTGGCTTTTAATACATACAGGGCTGTATGATCCATGCTATCAGAGGGAAATTGTAAAATGCATGCATGTGGGATTGCTGTGCGTGCAAGAATTTGCAGAAGACAGACCAAACATATCTACTGTTATTTTGATGCTTAATAGTGAGATTGTTGATCTCCCAGCTCCAAAACAGCCTGCTTACACAGGCCGACTGATTGCTTTGGGTGCAGGGTCCCCTCAAAATAATCTAAACAATTGCTCTATTAACAAGGTGACCCTCACCACTGTTGAAGGCCGATAAGGAGCTAGTTTTTGAGATAGTACATATGTACATGTATCTATATATTTAGGCATGCTTTCTGGTAGGGAAAAGTGTAGTAATCTTGGCTCCATGCTTTGGCACTGAAATTTTAAGATACCTGCAAGGAGCATGGTAGACCCAAGAAAGAACGCTTTATATTGAAATTGTAGACCTTTTTCTTTTCTTGGGGTCTGAGATTGTGAACCTTCTTGCTCCAGTACAGAGCACTCTCAACCAATAATTTGGTTGGTCCATCAACAACTTCAATCTCAGTGTCTGACCAGGGTTTGCGATAAGGCTAGTTGATTGTTCCTTATAAAGTTCAAAGCCTGCAAAAATATCTCTAAACTGTCAAACAGCCATAGATATTGCAAAGTGGCCCTTTGGTGTAATATTTAGATCAAAACTCGAAAGTGGGAAAAGAAACTTTAGGTATTAAAATAATTAAAAATTAGCCATGGGAATATAATCATGTGTTGATTATCATTTGACTGTTAATTATTCAAAAAAGGTGTAAATAGATTTTTTGCAGAATATCAACTCAGATGGTCCAGAAAAGTTGCTGCCACCACCACTAATGATCATATTCCTTTAACTTTACCTCATGTATAACAGGGATCGAAATTAATGATCATGGGAACAGGCAATAGCTCAGCAACCAAATGCTGCATGATTAAATAAATGAACACGAATTTAGACCTTAATTTAATTTAAAAATTCCAAATCCATTTTTCTTTGCTACAGATTCTAACTAGGATTGATGATCAGTTTGCAATCCAGATTAGCTTTTAAGTATCAAAAAGCAATTGCAAACTGACCCTGAATCAATAAAAAAATCCTGGACCTATGTATACTCAGTCTAGTGGTGGGGTTAGTTTTCTGCTCGGGGGTCTTCCGCCCTGCTAATTTTATCTTATGGCAGCTGTATGCGGGGAAAAGGTAGGGAAATATGGGCTATCCTGATTTCTTGTACAAACTACCATATGGGTGGCTAACACCCAACAGAAAGAAGCTACTGGAGGGCTTCTCTGGGATTTGTCTGATGTTTGAGACTGGCAATCTTGTTTTCGAAGAACGAGTCTCAGGAAGAGAATCATCTAGATTCTAGAGAGTAGAAACCTTGTTTTGCAGGATAGTATCACTGCAGTGAGAATATGGGAGAGCTTGCTACAACTTAATTTCCAATGCCTTACTGGCAACCACTAAATATAATATTGGACTCGGGAGACAGCAGACAGCATATTTTCTTTAGGAAATCTAGTTGCCTCTGCTTTCCACACAAAAAATGCCAAAAATAAGCCAACTTTGCCCGGCTAGCGTAATACTTGTATCAATGCTAAGCAAAATCGTCAACCTTCCAGCCTTAGCAAAGATTCCTTGTATAGACATCGAAGAATCATCCAATCAAATGGAAAAATGTCTTTGGTAAAAGGCCATTGACATAGAACTTGTGGTGCTTTGGTAGCCTGGTAGTTGGTTGATCAAGAAAGCAACGTTTGGGAAGTTCAGACACCACTTGGGACAATATTTGCAGACTTGCAGCATGAGGCTTTGAAACTTAAGCTTGTTTTTTTTTTTTTCCATCAATTCCAAGCTGTTACCTAGTTCTTTAATCTTTCCTGTCTAAACCAAATCTTGTTTTTTACCTTGATTATTATGTTTTCATTTAGTTCTTTAGCTCTATCTTAAGTCCATCTTTGTTGAGCAGTTTGTTGCTTCTTTTTTTTTTATCTAATACAAAATGGGAGAGCATCAGAAACTGCCATTTCTCAACCACTCTTTGCTTAATTGCTTCTTTACATACTTCCTAAAATTAATACTTTAAATACAATAAGAAAAGACTTGAAAATTAACTATTCTATTTACAGGATAATTCTGTGTTTGCTGATCTGTTCAGCATTTCGAATCCCGCCAAAACCAACAATTTATAAATTCTTCAGTGACTGACATTTTATAAATTCTTCTGACTAGGACTCCAGCACAAAAGAACAACTGACGAGGCCAAATACTACAACTCAATATCCAATTGCTTACATTTAATCATAAACTAATCTAGGGTTTTTGGTATCGAACTAAACCTCTCTTTAACAAAAACCCAACCAGAAATTTCCTGGAAAACTCCAATGATTGACCCAGATGACCAAGGGCCCTTAGATTCTCCTACATGGTCCATGCCATTCCAAAATAGTCCAAATTCAGGGCAGAGAAATGGTCCCCATTGGGTGGCTGATGGCTCCTTAATTGATAACCTGAGTCAACTTTATTTTCTCACGTGGGTGTTGCAAGAATTCTTTTGTTTATAGTTTGATAGAGGTACTCTGCATTTTGCCTTTTTTGTCGAGGAATTTTAAACCATGTTGTGAGTCTACGCGCATGGGTAGGGTGGTCCAAAGGCAACAGCCGTCTATTTTGGAGTTCTTCAGCACATCAGCCAACCCTTCAACGCCGTCTGGCAACTAACTTGCCTAATGGTCTATATTCAAAATAGAAGAAGCAAAAGGGCATTAGAAAATTTGACTATCAGGGGGAAAGGGTCTCATAAAAAAAGTACTAGTACTTAAAGTTTTCATGATTGAACTTATTTCCTGTAACTTCTACTCAATCAACTTGGCCTGTCATTATTGCTTGTGGAACATGTTGCTTGGCAGCACATGTATAATGTGAAATTAAGAATGTTGAATTTACTATCACATCAGAGTAAAGAATTATTATGATTTAATGCTTCTAAGCTGAGAAACCAATGGAGGTCGATGGTTTTGTCACAGTAAAATCGTTTTTATCTCCTTAGATTCAGAGACCGTGAAGGGCATGTGGTGCGGTTTTCTTGACCGATCACCTAATCTAATCGTTCTCATGTTTTTCATCTGGTCATAACTTTAAACCGAATACAATTTCCCTGTCAAAAGTGGTTTTTGACGTGTGACATCTGCTACATTGGCAGCAGAATAACTTTTTTAAGTTCTTCGGTATTGGTTTCTGCAGGTTTTAAAGTCTAACTTGTCGTCCTGATTTCGTTGGCAAAACCTAGGCCACCATTTGAATCTTCTTTTTTCTAAATTCTACTCATATTTTGGTATCTACTTCTTCTAGGAAGTCTGCCATTAATCTCTGCATTTTGTCAGAGACTGTGATATGGAAACTAATAGTAACACGAACCAAGTTTCTTTCTTTCTTGCTTCATTCATCTTTCTTCTATACTTTCTTCCTCAGTTTTGCCATGCGGTTGACAGAATCACGCCAGGCCAAACGATAAGGGATGGCGACACGTTGGTATCCAGGGCTGAGATTTTTGAACTGGGATTCTTCAATCCTGAAAACTCAACATTCAGATTTGTTGGGATATGGTACAGGATCGATGTGAAAGCAGTTGTATGGGTTGCAAATAGAGACAGACCAATATCTGACAGAAGTGGAGTTTTGAGGATGGGAGTTGATGGTAACTTGGTTGTTCTGAATGGAAACAACAATTTAGTTTGGTCCTCTAATGTTTCAGGTTTATCAAACAACACTGCAGCAGTTCTCTTGGATACAGGAAATTTTGTTCTATCAAGCAATGAAAGTGTTCATGATACCAGTAGTGCCCACTGGCAGAGCTTTGACCATCCAACTGATACATTTCTGCCTCAAATGAGAGTTCCAGTGAATTCTGCAATCGGAGAGAATTCCGCTTTCCATGCATGGAAATCAGCCAGTGATCCTTCACCCGGAAACTACACTATGGGTGTTGATCCTCATGGAGGACCACAGATAGTAATAAGGGATCATGGGAGAAGGCGATGGAGAAGTGGGCAGTGGAATGGAGTGATTTTTACAGGTGTCCCCAATATGAGTAATATTGCTAGTTTCTTATATGGGTTCAAGCTTTCTCAGCCTGATGAAAGTAGGACCCAGTATTTCACATATGATCCATCGAATCCTTCTGATTTAATGAGATTTCGGATAGGCTGGGATGGAAGGGAACAGCAGTTAAGATGGGATGATGGTGAGAAGATATGGAAAGTTCTGCAACAACAGCCTGACCCTGCAAATCAATGTGAACTTTATAATCATTGTGGGAATTATGCGATCTGTGACAACTTAAATTCTCCAAAGTGCAATTGTTTAAAAGGGTTTAGACCACAGTTTCAAGATCAGTGGAGTAGAGGAAATTGGTCAGGTGGGTGTAAACGGAGGACCGAACTGCAGTGCCAGAGGACTAATGGTACAGCAGGGGAAAATGGTAAACCAGATGGCTTTAAGGGATTGAAGTGCATGAAGTTACCCGATTTGGCAAACTTGACGCTATCTGCAGTGAACTCAGAGGCGTGTAGAGCAAGCTGCTTGGGAAATTGTTCATGTAGGGGGTATGCATTTATTTCTGGGATTGGATGCATGAGATGGACAGTAGACTTGATTGATCTTCAGCATTTCGACCAAACTGGAAGTTTACAGTTCTTCCTGCGTCTCCATCATTCTGAATTAGGTAAGTAAGGTACATATAGTTTTTTGTTGTTATGGTCCATTAGAAGTTTTTCACTAGCTCATTTTGGTCGTAGAGTAGTCCTAAATTTTCTGAACTTTTACCCTTCTGTTGGTTTAATTCCTAAACCTTCCTGGTCTTGCCAAATTTCTTCAGATTGCAGCTACTAAATCAGGTAGGTGTCATGATTCTTGAAATATAGGTGCTTTTTAGGGATATACTGAACTCAAATCATGTTAGTGGGCTAAATGGATGATATCATTCACTCTTGCAACGTTAACATTTTCTGCTGCATTTAACTGCCTAAATCTGAAACATTAACATTAGCATGCTAACACCTTGCTTTTTTCACTTCAAAATCAGATGGCAGGAGGAAAATATCCATCCTTGTGATTATTATAATTACTGTGCTGGGGGCATGCTTCTTGGTGGTGTCTCTATGGCTACTATGGAGATACAGGAATAAACTGAAAGGTGAGATTTCCTTTGGAGGTATGATTTCCTTTGGGGAGGCAGCTTAGAAAAAGCTGTCTGCTAGTCTACGACTTGATATCAATTTTTCAACTCTTTTCTTTCAGGTTTGCCAGCAGTTTCATCAATGCCATGTTGCAAGGACGATGATGTAGAAGTTTTTGATGTGTCCCAGAGCAAAGAATTTTCAGCAGATCTTTCAGGACCATCTGACGTCGTTATAGATGGGAATCAACTTAATGGGCCAGAATTGCCAATGTTTAGCTTTAGTTGTGTTGCAACTGCCACAAAGAACTTTTGTGTAGCAAACAAACTTGGGCAGGGGGGATTTGGTGATGTATTCAAGGTGACTTTCTAAAGTTGGTTACAAAATAGCAATGAGTGTAATGTTTGAATTCAGGGTAATAACAGCCTTTTTTTTTTTTTCCATCATCAGGGAGAGCTTCCTGGAGGTCAAGAAATAGCTGTAAAGAGGCTTTCAGGACATTCTGGCCAAGGCTTAGAGGAGTTCAAAAATGAGATTATCCTGATCGCTAAACTGCAGCACAGAAATCTTGTTAGACTCTTGGGCTGCTCCATTCAAGGGGAAGAGAAGATGCTGATTTACGAGTACATGCCCAATAAAAGTTTGGACAACTTTCTTTTTGGTATTCTCCTTATCATCCTTCTTGTAGAGGTCTTTGTTGTCTTGTAGAGAAAAATGGCAAAACCTAGAGTTATTGGCTTTTGTAGCTGTTTGTTTGTACTGACAGTTGTTTCCTGATAAAATTTATGGCAGATGAAGCCAAGCAAGCCCAGCTAGACTGGAGAACCCGCCTCAGCATTATTGAAGGCATTGCAAGAGGGCTTCTTTACCTCCATCGAGATTCAAGACTAAGAATAATTCATAGAGACTTAAAGGCTAGCAACATTTTGTTGGATGCAGAAATGAATCCAAAGATCTCAGACTTTGGCATGGCCAGAATATTTGGGGGTAACCAAAATGAAGCAAATACAGTTCGAGTAGTTGGCACATAGTAAGCACTACATGCTTTTAGATGTTTACAGAAAAAGCTCAAATTTCAACATTCAAACAATGTCAATAGCTAGACAGACCTAATCCTTTCTTTCCTGTCTTAAAATGCAGTGGATATATGTCTCCTGAATATGCAATGGAAGGCCTATTTTCAGTGAAGTCAGATGTGTACAGCTTTGGGGTATTATTGCTAGAAATTGTTAGTGGCCGGAGGAATACTAGCGTTCGTTCATCTGAACACACAAGTCTTATTGGATATGTAAGTGCAAAACGAACCATTTGCAGCCAAGCTAACCGTGAAGCTAGAATTTGAAAATTTTTGTGTTATCATCTGTTGAAGTCTTGAAGCTGGCAATACTAATATTGAATTTTGAACTGGTTTCAGGCATGGAATCTTTGGAATGAAGACAAAGCAATGGATCTTGTTGATCCTTCGATTCAGGATTCAGGCTCTCCAACTGAAGTGCTGAAATGCATACACATAGGCATGCTGTGTGTGCAGGATAATGCAATGCACAGACCAACAATGGCAGCCGTGGTGCTAATGCTTGAGAGTGAAACTCCAACGCTTCCAACGCCTAGACAACCCACATACACTTCCATGAGGAGTTCTATAGATGCAGAATTCACTATGGATGGTCAAGAAATTGTATCTTCAAATGATGTCACGGTGACAATGGTAGTTGGAAGATAGATTGATTCGTTACTTCCCCTTCCATTGTTTTCATATTACACCATTCAAAATTTTCCTGAACCTGGTGTTTCCTTCTTCTCTTGTTTGAAGAAGTAGAGTTGCTCCATTAAGCCCGCTCAGCCACAGGGGTAGGCCGGTAGCATGGATGAGTGCAGGAAGCAGGGGACCTGCCTAATTATCAAAGAATTGTACATGCAGTCAAACTTCAATGGGATAGATTTGTAATTATATAAGTTTTTTAACTTTTTTCTTTTTTGGGTTCTTTGTAACTGTGATTTTTCACTTATTAATGTGAGATTGACTACTCATAAAATTTCTCCTGTTTCCAACAGTGAGTACTCATAAAGCAGAAGGAGCCATTGACTCGACCCATGCCCACCCTTCCAGAATACAAGCGACAGAACCCTTGCTTTCAGCCTTTGGGCCATTTGTCTTCTTCAATGGAAGGAGGGCCTATTTTAGCCCAGCTTGTTCCATGGCTTAATTAATTGCAAATATCTCCCTATATTATTCTTTCATATCACACCAAGCCCCTAAGTTTAATCAAATAATCACAGGTTTTCTTTCACCCTTCAAAAAGCATATTTAATCATCTGGAATTTTAAAGAAAAAGAAAATCATATAAAGTGCTTAAAAACACTGTGGGAAAGAAGAACATCCAATTAAAAATAAGAAAAACAAAACAGATGTATATGATTAATATATTAATCTTTTTAAATAATCATATAATTATCTAATTATTACAAAAACGTATGTACGAAATTATCATTTATAATTATAATTTCCATATAATATTTTGGTAGACATCATACAGTTCAGAATTGTGATTGACTAATTGTCATGTAATTATTGTAGAAGATATGTTTTTTAATTTGTTACTTTAGATGAAAACCTGCTAATAAGAAAGAATTAAGATCTCTATAATCAACCGTCCTAATTACCAATTCAGCCGTTTTCTTTATCACACACTTCAAATCAGACTCGACTGAGCGCAACAGGTCTGACAGACAACGGAGAAACCGCAGCCTCAGGTTTCTTAACGTGTTATTTCGGGTATCTACACCATTGGTGGAAAAACTGCAAGTCATCTGGGACCAATTAAGGACATGAATTAGTGGACACGTTTGTTTACTTTTGCTGGTTTTGAGAGGGAGGGGGATGAAGAATCCAGAACTTGCATTTAAGAAACTAATCAAAGCTTGTAGTTTAGGAATAGAAGTCTCACGCACATTAGCTTGATAGATTCAAATTCTGTTATGTACTTTCACCTTGTAGCTGTTTTGTTATGTGATCGACATGCTTGAGGACAGATGAGCAGTTTCGATGTCTGTGTTTTTTCCTTTTCTCTTTTACTCAATTTGCTTTTCTTCCAGGATTGCACCGCCATAGATGTGTTAACCCCATCTCAAGCACTCTCGCAGGGACAAACTCTAACCTCCCCTGGCAAAGTCTTTGAGCTCGGCTTTGTGAGTTTTAATAACTCTAGCCTTTATTATGTAGGAATTTGGTACAAGAATATTGTCCCTCGTAGAGTTTTATGGGTGGCCAACAGAGAGAAGCCCCTCACGGACTCTTTGTCCTCAAGTCTAGTGATAGTGGGTGATGGAAATCTGAAGCTCATGAATGGCATGCAAGACATTGTCTGGTCAACCAATCTTCCTATCCAATCAAATAATTCGGTTGCGGGGCTTTTGGATAGTGGGAATTTTGTTCTGAAGGATAACTCTTCGGGGCAGATCTTATGGGAGTGCTGTAGCCATCCTGGCGATACTTTTTGGCCCGGTATGATGATAGGGATGAATGTTAAAACTGGTGAGAAACGATTCCTGATTTCGTCGAAAAGTAAGGACGACCCATCGCCTGGTAGTTTTGTTGGTGGAACTGGAGCACAGAGTAGTCCGATAATAGAAGGTTTTATTTGGAATGGAACCCGACCGCATTGGAGAAGTGGGCAATGGAATGGGATAAAGTTCCTAGGGGTGCCACATATGTCTGTAGTATATACTAATGGAATTTAGCATTGTATCGGTTAGTCCAGAGGGTAGTCAGTATGTTACTCTCAATGTTTTCAACACCTCTCTCACTAAAGTCGTGTTCCTTTCACCAGAAGGATCTCTGCAGATAATTATTTGGGATGAAGGAGAGAAAGAATGGAGAGTTCAACTGCAGGAACCGGAGAGCCAGTGTGACATTTACGGAGCTTGCGGTCCTAATGGAATTTGTAATACAGATGAGGCTCCAATTTGTAGGTGTTTGGAAGGGTTTGAACCAAGTTCAAGTGAAGAGTGGAGTAGAGGGAACTGGACGAATGGATGTGTAAGACGAGTTGAACTTAATTGTGACAAGAACATGAGCTTATTAGCCACAAGCCAGGATAAAACTGATGGATTTTTGAAATTGAGTGGGCTGAAACTGCCAGCTCATTCCCAGTATCTGAAAACTGATGTGTATAATGAAGTTTGCGAATTCTGGTGCTTGAACAACTGCTCTTGCGTGGCATTTGCGTCCGTGGCAGGAATCGGGTGCATGTTTTGGACTGGAGATCTTATGGATGTTCGGGCCTTCTCATCTACAGGAGAGGATCTCTTCGTTCGTGTTGCACATGCAGAACTAGTTACCATATATATACAATTCTTCACCTGAACTCAGATTATGAGGTATGCCTACATCTGTCTACCTGTTGGTTTGTTTACCTTCGAATTTTAAAATTTTTTCTAGGTAAAGAGAAGCACAAATCGAAGGTTGTCTTCCCTGTTGCAGCTAGTTGTACTTTCATCGTCTTGAGTACATTATTAGTATATGGTTTCTTCAGGTATAGAGCAAACCAAAAAGGTAGGAGCACTGATGTATTTTTCACAGCTACTTAAATTTATTCAGGCATTTTGAGCATATTAGTCTCTTGTGCTTTGAAAGTTCTTCCAATAAAGCATTGCAGATCATGCGGTTTATATATAAAGCTTAATCATGATTATTCATAGCTAACTTGAGAAAAACTGCATTAGAAATTTTAGGTCCAAAATTCAAAGTATACTGATGGACCTTCCAATAATTAAGCCGTGTAAACCACCTGTCCACCTGGATTTGTGGTAATGGATTCTTGCCAGTCAAGAGGGAAAGGTGGGGCTGTCAGGTATAGAAATTTTAGCTCATTCAACAAAAATCTCTAAACCATGTAGCTCCGAGAAACTTGTTTCCTGTACTACCCTTGACAATTGACATTTGAGGGCTTAATTACTTTGACTTATCTTCAGCATTTTTCTCCTTCAATGAACTGACTGAAAAGTTCCTTGTTATTGAGTAGTTAAATAGATTAATTTTATGCAATTTGAGTCTAATTTAGTATCTAATATTTTAATAACGTTAGGTTACTGAATTATGCATAGAACCTGGCTGTCTCATAAGAATTATATCCTTCAAGTGAACCCCTCACCAGTATGTCAATAAATCCTGCCAAATCAAGATATGTCAAAGTGTTAGGCTCCATATCGGATTCTAGTTGGCCTAGGCCAAATTACTCAGTTTTGCGCCTATTGAAGAAAAAGATCTGCTGACTTTAACGTCATGATGGCTCAACGTCTATATTTAGGGGAAAGCAGAGAAGGTTTGCATGAATCTGATTTTGCTGATGCAATTAACCCTCTGAGAGACACTCTAAAAGGAATAGCAGGCAGCAACATCATAAAACAAAAAGATTCGTTGATATTTGATTTCAACCACGTAGTTGTTGCTACCAACAACTTTAGCCTAACGAACAAGCTTGGCGAAGGGGGATTTGGACCTGTTTATAAGGTATCACTCCTTTTTAGTATTTCTTTTTGCTTGTAGATGTACAGGGACACTATTGACTGATATATGTGAAACAAGAGCAGGTAAAGCTTCAAAATGGAAAGGAAATAGCTGTGAAGAGACTTTCTAGTCACTCAGGACAAGGCATGGAGGAATTCAAGAACGAGATTGTGTTTATTTCCAAACTCCAACATAGGAATCTTGTTAGGCTTTTGGGTTGCTGTGTTGAAGGAGAAGAAAAACTGTTTATCTACGAGTACATGCCGAACAAGAGCCTGGACACATTTCTCTTTGGTTAACTCCCTTTTTCACTTATTCATCCATAGCATTGCATAGCACAACTTATAACTGACTATGTCAAAAATTTCTATGATCTGATTAGATCCAACAAGAAAAACACAGCTAGTTTGGGCTAAGCGCTTCAACATTATTCAGGGTATTGCCAGAGGGCTTGTTTATCTCCATCGTGATTCCTTTCTAAGGGTCATTCACCGTGATCTGAAGGCTAGCAATGTTCTTTTGGATGAAGACATGAACCCAAAAATTTCAGACTTCGGATTGGCTAGAACTTTCCAAAAGACTCAAGAGCTAGCAAATACTCACAGGGTAGTGGGAACATTGTAAGCATTACTTGTTTGTTTTTTTAGTAGATTCAACGAACATTCATCTTGATAATCCACTCCCATAAGGAGTAGTAATGCATTAAATTGTTGTCTTGTATAACATGAGACTTGCAACCTAATTTGTAAATAGGTTCATGTATATATAATCACTTAACTAGGTATTGGCTTGTTCATGTTGTGTTTTGACAGATATAGGATAAGCATAAAAACAGAGCAAGTGAAAGTTTTTGTTATATTAGTAGCTTCATACTTCTGATATGTATTGACTTTGTTTATATACATAGCAAATCTTAGCAAGTAAGCTTTGATCAGAAGCTAGGCACAAGAATACGTACTAATCATCACATAAGTCATTCATTAGATGCATAATTATCATAATTTGATAAAAAAACTAGCTGTCTTAATACAAAATAGTCACATATGATGATGTGATTTTCAACGCAAGTCTTATTTCAAGAGTTCAAATGTACCTCCAAATCCAGATACCTTTTAACTACTTTGGCATTGAATTAAACAAGCATCAAATATTCCAATCAATGTCGGGGCTATATGTCTCCTGAGTACGTCATAGGAGGGAGGTTTTCAGAGAAATCTGACGCCTTCAGCTTTGGGGTCTTGCTACTCGAATGATGAACACCTAAACCTTCTTGGTTATGTACACTTCAAAGTTAAAACACTTTCGTCTTCTCATATTCCTTCTGGGATTCTTTTAGTAAGTGAAATATATATTGTTTCAGGCTTGGCGGTTGTGGTGTGAAGGTAGGGTGCTTAACTTGATTGATCAAGCCTTAGGGGATTCATTCTGCAATGTAGAAGTAATGCGCTGCATACACGTTGGGCTTCTCTGCGTCCAGGAAAATCCTGCAGACAGGCCTAACATGCCAGTCGGGATTCTCCAGCTTACCGGTGGAACAAACCTTCCACGACCAAAGCAACCTGCATTTGCTTTTGACAGTTCACGGTGCTCCTCTCATAGATCAAATTCTAATGGCAATATATGCTCCATGAATGAGGTCATATTGTCAGCGACTGAAGGCCGATAATTGATGATGGACGGATTTTTCCCATTTTTCTTTTTATTTACCGAATCAACAACTATTGTTTTAAAGTTTTCCTTACATTTCTTATGATCATTATTTCCGTCTTCCCACTCTATCCACTAAGAACAAATTTTACTTAATTGGTCGGATATTTTCAATAATAATAAGTTCGAGATATAATTTTCATTTGAACAAATAAAGAAAAAAGTTTTTGAAATAAGAGAAGTATAGGTTTTTAATAGTTGAACTAAAATGGGTTAAAGAGCAGATAGTGACTTATAATTTAAAAAGAAGATAAAGAAAAAGATCTTAACATATTTCATTCTTTTCTCTATATTTTTCATAACTTTTTATACTATTTTGTTTGAAAAAGTTTTATACAAATTTGATGATTTTATCATACACGAGTGAATATTCAATGTATTGATTTTGTTAGTCCAAAACAATTAATTACCAAGTTTTATTGTATCCTCAAGATTTCATTATCTATAATCTTATTAGCGAGGCGAATAAAGCAATGGATCTTGTTGACCATTTGATTCGAGATTCAAGCTCTCCAACTGCAGTGTTGAAATGCATGCACATAGGCATGCTGTGTGTGCAGGAATGCACAGACCAACAATGGCAGCCATGGTGCTAATGCTTGAGAGCGAAACTCTAACGCTTCCAATGCTTAGACAACCCGCATACACTTCCATGAGGAGTTCTATAGATGCAGAATTCACCATGGATGGTCAAGAAATTGTATCTTCAAACGATGTCACGGTGACAATGGTAGTTGGAAGATAGATTAATTTGTTACTTACCCTTCCATTGTTTTCATATTACACCATTCAACATTTTCCTGAACCTGGTGTTTTCTACTTCTCTTGTTTGAAGTAGTAGAGTTGTTCCATTAAAGCCCGCTCAGCAACAAGGGGTAGGCCGGTAGCATGAATGAGTGCAGGAAGCAGGGGAAACACTTAAATTATCAAAGAATTGTACATACCGTCAAACTTTAATGGGATAAAATTGTAATTATATAAGGTTTATTCTTTTTTTTTTTTTTTGGGTTCATTGTAACTGAGATTTTTCACTGTTTAATGTGAGATTGATTACTCATAAAATTTCCCCGTTTCCAACAATGACTACTCATAAAGCGGAAAGCAGTCATTAAACTTAGCCATGCCCACCCTTCCGGAATACACGCGAGAGAACCCTGGCGTTTAGCCTTTGGGCCATTTGTTTTCTTATGTGGAAGGTAGGCCCATTTTAGCTTATTCTATTTTGTGGCTGAGAAGAACATCAATTAAAAATAGGAAAAACAAGTTAAAAGTATGTGATCAATATATTTGTCTTTTCAGATAATTGTATAATTATCTAATCTTAACAAAAAATTACAAAGAACTGTAAATTTCATATAATATTTTGATAGATGTTATATAATCTAGGATTATAATTTATTAATTATCATGTAATAATTGCATCAAATATGCTTTTTAATATTGTATTGCGGACTAAAAGCTACCAATAAGAAAAAAAGGGATCTCTCTCATCAACCGTCCTAATTACCAATTCAATCGTTTTCTTTATCATACACTTGAACTCCTAGAGTTGGTTGAAAACAACAAGTTGGACAGACGAATGAGTCGTGGAGAGACCGCAAGCTCGGTTTTTTTAACTTGCATGTAATGGGGTTATTTCGGTATCTACCGTCGGTGGAAAAATTACTAGTCGTATGGGACAAGGACACGTGTACGAGAAAGTGTTTTATCTCACATCATAAAAACGGAGGTCTTGAGCTCTTATATCGAGTGTGCTACAACCTCATAAGCGCGTTATAGAGGAGAGAGTAATGACCCCGTGACAAGTGCTATCAAACGGATCAGACCTCGTCTGACTCAAGTTAAGCGCCCAGTCCTAGGTGGAAAAGTGTTCTATCCCACATCGGACAAGAACGAGAGGTCAAAAGTGCTTCTATTCCACATCGGACAAGAACGAGAGGTCTGACTCACGTCAAGCGCCCAGTCCCAGGTGGACTTAAGGTAGGCAAGGCAGGTCCAGTGGAGAAAGTGTCACGAGGAAAGTGCTTCTATCCCACATCGGATAGGAACGGGAGGTCCTGGGCTTTATTAAACGGTATTGTGTACACCTCCATAAGCGTGTTTACGGAGAGAGAGATGACCCCGTGACACACATTTGTTTACTTTTATTGGTTTTGGGACTTGCATTTATAAACTATTCGAAGCTTGTAGTTTAGAAATAGAAGTCTAAGGATCTTTGATTCTGTCAGAAACTGATTTCCAAGATGGGTGATGAAAAGAGAAGTTGCGTTTTGCTTTCTTCAATGTCCCTCTTGTTCAACTTGCTTCTGTTACATTGCTGCGCTAAAACTAATAGCATAACTCTATCCAGGCCATTATCACAAGACCAAATCCTTACCTCCCCATGCCAATCTTTTGTGCTAGGCTTCTTTCAGCCTAACAATTCTGCCTATCGATGTGCGGGAATATGGAATAAAGATATCGCTCCTACAAAAATTGTTTGGGTGGCCAATAGAGAGAAGCCAGTTACAAACTCCTTGGCAAGTCTAACAATCGGGAGTGATGGAAATTTGAAGCTTGTAGATGGAAACCAAGACACTCGTTGGTCAACTAATGTTTCTGTCCCGTTGAATAGTTCAGTAGCAGTGCTTTCAGATAATGGAAACCTTGAACTTAAGGATGATATATCTGGAGCGAATTTATGGCAGAGCTTTGAGCATCCTTCTCATACTTTCTTACTTGGGGCAAGTATAGGGTATAATTTCAAAACTGGAGAGAGACGTTTTTTGACATCCTGGAAAAGTGATAGTGATCCATCTCCTGCAAAATTTTGTTGTTGAACTTCTACCAGGGTCACCAGTACAAGCTTTCGTTTGGAAAGACTCGTTACCTCATTGGAGAAGTGGGCAATGGGATAAAACGAAGTTTATTGGTGTACCAGAAATGGATTCATCATTTTAAAGTAAATTTGAACTCAGAATACATCTTCAGCGAGGAACAGTGTATTTATATGCTGGTCCATACAACCAATCTGAACCTAAAAACGCCTTTATTTCTCCAACGGGAACTCTACAGCTAGTGTACTGGGAAAGAGGCCAAGGCTGGAAAATCAATTTGGAAGCACTGCTGAATCCGTGCGATGTGTATGGAGTCTGCGGATCATTTGGAGTTTGTAGCCCATCTGAATCTCCCATTTGCAGCTGCTTAAGAGGATTTACACCAAAGTCAGATGAAGATGGAGCAAAGGAAACTGGACAGGAGGTTGCGTGAGGCGAACCAATTTACCTTCCGAGGCAAACACAAGTTCCGAACCTACAAACAACGGAAAAACAGATAGATTTTGGAAGATGGATAGGATGAAACTTCCAGATCTTTCCGAGTATTTGGAAATCGTCGACTACGTATGACAAGAATGGTGCTTGAATAACTGTTCCTGCATGAGTTACGCAATTGTATATGGAATTGGATGTCTGGTCTGGACTGAAAACATCATAGACATGCAAAAGTCCCCCTTCGGTGGGGAAGAATTCTTCTTACGGCTTGCACATACAGAATTTGGAGAAAATATTATTGCCCTTAAGCTGAATTTTAAGAATGGATATGATTTTTTCCTTTTCTTCTCAGACTCCACAACCGTCGTCTTAATTGTTTTTCTTTCCTTTTAAAATTTCAGCTGATGAGAGACTAAGAGAGAAGCTCATTATCAGCCTCACAACCGTTTCTTGCAACATCATCTTGGGCATCTTAGTATATGGCATACGCCGTAAAAGATCTATCAAATTAAGTAAACCCTCTCGGTCCCTATCTTAGTATATGAGTTTCTGAAATCTTATCACATATAGGTTCACTTTTCCATTTTGTTTCCAAGATCCGTTAGTTACAATACATTCAAATGTTGCCTACTACGAATCATCATTACTATATGCTTATCTTTCTAGAGTCTAGACTAAACTTGTTAGTATCAGTATAAGCCTATTTGGCCATGCTTGATTTCCTGCTTTCATCTATCCAGCAGTGACATATTTCACTTATTTATAGTCACAAACTATTCAAGTGTAAGCATTATTTATTTGCTTATTTGGTTTATCCAAACATATTCCAGCAGCTATATGTCTTCTGAGTATGCATTAAGTGGGATATTTTCCGAAAAGTCGGATGTTTATAGCTTCTGAGTTCTCCTGTTAGAGATTGTCAGTGGCAGGAAGATTACAGCCTCCTACTATGACGACAAACACATAAGCCTTATTGGCTATGTAAGTGCAACACTTTTCAATGGACGGTGCTTTTATGTGTTATTTGGCATTCAAAGTTTATACGGACAAAGCTACTTTTGTTTCAGGCATGGCAACTGTTGTTTGAAAGCAAGGAATTAGACTTGTTGGATGAAGCTTTGGCGGACTCTTTTTCGTCATCAGAAGTAACAAGGTGTATCCGTATTGATCTGCTTTGTGTCCAGGATCTTGCTGAACATAGGCCAAACATGTCGGCAGTTGTTTCCATGTTAAGCAGTGAAGCCGAGCTTCCAAGGCCAAAACAATCTACATTTACATTTCAGACTGGATTCTACTCTGAAAAATCCAACTCCAACCATTTGATGTCTGCCTGTGAGCTTACAGAGTCCGTGCTTGAAGGGCGATAACCACTCTGTAGCAAGCACAGTAATCTTTGGTCATAAGAATAAACAAGTTCAGAAAATATTTATTTATTTATTTATTTTCCATAGGGTAAGTTCAGAAAATACTTGTGTGTGGTAATTGGTCTTTTACTAGGACTTTTTCTTTCTCACAACGTATTACGGTACTTTGAAATGTATGAGTCACAAGTGCGTGCGTCACAAGGTGTGATGGCTGTATGTTTGGCAAAGTAGATGTGTTTCGCCAATTGGTGGCGATTAAGGTAATTCAACTGTATCTGCAAGATTTTTGTTTGCTGAAATCGTGAACATTTCTATGAATAATTATCTGGGGAGATATCTTCTTGCATTAAAATATTCATCTGTAATGGTGATTTCTTCAAATTTTATGGTGTCTTGCTGTTGGAAATAGTCTTTTAGTTATGTCAGGCTCTGGTTTTATTAATTTTATGACTGAGACTTTGAAGCAATGAAAGAACAGTACAATGATGACTATCAAACAAAGAGCAAGCTTCTTGATTTGACATATTCATAATCATCTCTGTTCTTACAATCAACAATTTCCTGGAGAAAATGGGTAGGAAAAACGGAATCTGCAGCATTCTGCATTCTCCCATGTCCCTGTTGTTCTACTTGCATCTGTTGCAATGTTTATGTTGCACTGCAACTAATAAAATTACTCTAGACAGACCTTTGTCACAAGAACAACTCCTTACCTCCCCAAACCAAATTTTTGAGTTAGGCTTCTTTCAGCCTAATAATTCTTCTGCCAATCAATATGTAGGAATATGGTACAGAAATATTACTCCCCGGACTGTTGTTTGGGTGGCCAACAGAGAGAAGCCAGTTACAGACTCCTTGGCAAGTCTGACGATTGGAAGTGATGGAAATTTGAAGCTTGTGGACGGAGTCCAAGACACTCTATGGTCAAGCAATGTTTCTGTTCCGTCAAATGGTTTAGTAGCAGTGCTTTCAGATGATGGAAACTTCGCCCTGAAGGATAATATATCTGGAGATAATCTATGGCAGAGCTTCGAGCATCCTTCTGATACTTTCTTACTCGGGTCAAGTATTGGGTTTAACACTAAAACTGGAGAGAGACGCGTCATGACTTCCTGGAAAAGTGACACTGATCCCTCACCCGGAAGTTTTGTTGTTGGACTGGCGCAGCGGTCACCACCGCAAGCTTTCATTTGGAAAGGGTCGGTGCCTTATTGGAGAAGTGGAGAATGGGATAAAACCAAGTTTATTGGTATACAACAACAGGATTCATCATATTCAAGTATGTTCGACCTCATAGAAGATATTGAACAAGGAACAGTATATTTGATTTCCAATCCTCACAACCAGTCGGATTTCGAAAAAATGATTGTTTCATGGATGGGACCTCTAAAGTTGACTTTTTGGGAAGACCAGCGCTGGAATGTTGAATGGGAAGCACCAAAGAATCCATGTGATGTCTATGGAACCTGTGGACCATTTGGAGTTTGTAAGGCATCTGAATCTCCCATTTGTAGGTGCTTAAAAGGATTTGTACCGAAGTTAGATGAGGAATGGAGAAAAGGAAACTGGACAGGAGGTTGCGTGAGACGAACTGAATTACTTTGCGAGGGAAACACAAGCAACGAGGCAACAGACGAGGGAAAAGCAGATAAGTTTTGGATAATGAACAGGATGAAACTTCCTGATTTTTCGGAGTATAAGAACCTTGATTACCCCGTCCCATGCCAACAATGGTGCTTGGATAACTGTTCCTGCAAGGGCTATGCCACTGTAGAAGGAATTGGGTGTCTGGTTTGGACTGGAAACCTTACAGATATGCAGGAATTCTCCTTTGGTGGGGAAGCATTTTTCTTACGCCTTGCACCTTCAGAATTTGGTGAGAATATGATTGCACTCGAGCTGGGTGAATATAATTTCGCTTCCTTTTTCAGTTTTCACACACTTTTACTGACCATCTTTATTTCTTGGTCTTCCTTTCTGTTGGTTAAATAAGGACATGCATTAACCCAAACAAGGTCTTTTCTTTCTCTTTTTGCATTTTTTTTCCTTAAAAATTTTCAGCTCATGAAAGGTTAAGAGAAAAGCTCATTATCAGCCTCACAACTATTTCTTGTATCATCACCTTGGCCTTGGGCATCTTAATATATGGCCTACACCGGAAAAGATCCCAAAAAATAAGTAAGCCTTCTCTCTCTCTCTCTCTCTCTCGGAAATGTTATTTTCCCTTGTTTTGTCAATATTTATTCTAATCCAAGTTTCCTTTTCCTTAATTCAAAACAAAGGCTGTATCTTTTATTTATTTATTATTGTTTTGAAGTCCTGTCCTCCAATAAGTCAACTGAGATTTAACAAGGATGACCAAGCACAGATTGAGAACTGGTCAATTGTCAAGAAAGGGGGGTGAGGTTTTTGCCTCATGTTGCTGATAACGTAAGTAAGAGAGGATATGACCCAGAAATAGAAAAGAGATTGAATATAGAGTCATCACATTTTAACACAGAGGTTATATACTTTGTTGTACATGAAAAACACTTGTAACCATGCTTAATAAGTGTAAAACAAGTTTACATGCAACCTTACACGAAATGGGACAGCACAAATATGGTAATAACTCTAAAACCAGTACAACGAAGCAAACTGATAAAAATAAAGAAAACTAAGTTAATTTGAAAGCATTCACCTGCTGCAGCAACATACAAGTATTACAACTTAACAGTTGCTGGGATGTTTGCTGGGAAAAGTAAATGTGTACAGGTTTCCTAGAGTCCCCGGTCCTTTGTATAGTCCATTAGGTGATGACTTTTGGAGGTGATTCTGGACTGTTACTCTCAAATTTAGAGAGTAACAAACATGAATCTTCTTGTTCCCTTTCCAGAGGTGAAGGTTGACTTTCCTCTGTTTCAATATATCATGAATTTAAAAAAAAAAATTGCCAGGAATTTGAATCTCTGGAATCTTATCATCCTAGAACTTTACATGCAAATTATGTGCTTATCAATTTCCTATTTTGATTTTTTTGAAAGAGGCCCAAATTTCGTCTTCAAATAAATGAGTTGTTTATTTAAATCAGGGGAAGAAACGAAAATCTCAGAGGACTTGGAGTTGGCTGTTGAAATTGAAGCTTCAAGCGAAATCTTGCCTAGCTACATAATGAGAAGCCATTTAGAACTAGAAGATACATTGGAACTACCTATATTTGACCTGAATAGCATATTAATTGCCACAGATAACTTCAGCCTAGACAACAAACTTGGGCAAGGAGGATTTGGCCCAGTTTATAAGGTGAGTAATAACACACACATATCTGAAATATGTGCTTTACAGTTGTAGAAAGATGAAAACAAGCATACATTGATGAATTTACGAATTTTGCCAGGGTTATCTGCCTGATGGGAAGTATGTAGCGGTTAAGAGACTTTCTAGTACCTCAGGCCAAGGCAAAGAAGAGTTCAAGAATGAAGTAATGTTGATCTCCAAACTCCAGCACAGAAATCTTGTCAGGCTCTTCGGTTATTGCAGTGAGAAAGAAGAAAGAATACTCATTTATGAGTACATGGCCAACAAAAGCTTGGATAAGTTTCTATTTGGTTGGTTCCAACAAGCACTCTACATTTTTCTACTGACCCTTCTTAATCCCTTGGGTTCATAATGTCTCAACTTGACTGTCATGTTACCTAATATTGCTATTACTCAGCATTTAAATATTGTTGTCCTTTTTAATTAGCAATCACCCATTAGGTAACGCATAGATCCTCTAATCTTTGGAGCCATACCCTTTTTCTGTTAACTTTTTGGTAAGGCTTGGAAATATAACTGTTATTTTAACCATATATCTCTGGTGTCTTGATCAGATACAACAAAGAGAGCAGAACTTTGTTGGGCAATGCGTTTCAACATTATTCAAGGTGTTGCTCGGGGGCTTCTTTACCTTCATCGTGATTCTTGTTTGAGGGTTATACACCGAGACTTGAAAGTTTCCAACATCCTCTTGGATGACAAAATGAACCCAAAAATTTCAGATTTTGGGTTGGCTCGGATATTTGAAGGGACACAATATTTAGCAAATACACATAGAGTGGTCGGAACACTGTAAGCAAATTCTCCATCTTAGAACGATCTTCAACTGTTGCCATCCATTACACATAGTATCATTTACAGTAAAGTTGTCAGTGTTTGAATAACAAGTAATAAGGAGTGACTTGGCATACGTGGCCATATATTTCTGCTTTCATCTACTACTGATATATTTCAATTAATTATTTTCTTGGTTGGCTATCCAAACAAATTTCAGGGGCTACATGTCTCCTGAGTATGCATTGACTGGGATATTTTCCGAGAAGTCAGATGTTTTTAGTTTTGGGGTTCTCTTATTAGAGATTGTCAGCGGCAGAAAGATCAGTACCTCCTACTTTAAAGATCAACATCTAAGCCTTCTTAGCTATGTAAGTGCACATTTCTAGATTGATGTGTGATTTGTCTGTTATCTGGGACATTCAAATTTAAATGGCCCAATATAATTTGTCTCAGGCATGGCAACTGTGGCATGAAAGTAAGGAATTGGAGTTGTTGGATGAAGCCTTGGCGGACTCATTTTCATCGTCACAAGTAAAGAGGTGCATTCATGTAGGTCTTCTTTGTATTCAGGATTATGCTGAACATAGGCCACCCATGTCAACAGTAGTTTCCATGCTAAGCAGTGAAACAGAGCTTCCACAGCCAAAACAACCTATATTATTCCAAAGTGCACTGAAGTCTGATCGATCTGAATCTAACTGCATCTGGTCCACAAGTCAGATTACAGAATCAGTGCTCGAAGGGCGATGATCTTTGTGTAGACTAGGCTGTTTGGTTATATTGATGGATCAAACAGAAAACATAGTCCTCTGACAGAAGGAAAGAAAGTCCAAAAGTAATGTTACAAAGGGTGAAGCTAGCAATTTAGGCCCAATACGAAGATTCCTGTTTTTATTTACTAATTGGAACACAAGTTTTCAAACCCTTTGGGCTTTTAGCATCACCAGGATTAAAAGATTAGACATTTGCTGAACCTGGAAGTAGCCTGGTCTAATACATATAAACCTCGAATAATTCTTAAATTAAACAGAAATTTTTTTATCTTCAGTTGATATTTAGAATTTAAAGGTCAGGATCTAAGATGGATAGTATAAAACTGAATATATAACATAAAATTATAAAATAAAACACCAAAAGAAACATCAAGTCCAGATAAAAAAATTACATGAAATAGAAAAACGAAAAATTACTTTTGATTACCTTTTTTTGAATGAAAACGAAAACATATCGTTATCATCAGAAATTTTCTATTAATAATTCGTTCAAGCTGACTTTCTGTAGCTTCATTGAGGATGTGGATACATGGCGACTCATTACACCAAATGCACCTATTGGGGAATTCTTTAGCCAAAAATAGGATTTCTATTTTCTTACAATATATATTCTCCAATATGCGAGTGGCAGCTGCATGCATGACGTGGTATGATAGCTATGTTTCATGAGGTTTATGGCAGTGATTCAAGTAAGGTATTTGTCAGTAAAGTAATTTAATAAGATTAGCAAGATCGATGTTTCAAAATTTTCATTACCGCAGATAAAAATTAGTCATGAACTTTGCCTTGAATCTTAGTTTTCATAAATGTTCGAGTTACAGATGCATGCTTCACATGGCGTGATAGCGTTGTTTGATGGAGTAGATGGCATTTTGCAGTGATTAAAGTAATTTAGTCATATTAGCAAGATGTCATGATATAGTTATCTGCTAGAATCATGAAATTTTCCAGGAATTTTCCGGGGCAATATTCTTTTTACATAAAATGTTGATTTCTTTCAAATATTTTGGACAGTCAGACTGTTGGAAATAGTCTTTTGGGCTACGTCAGACTCTAGTTTTATGCTAAAGCAAGGAGAAACTAGGAAAGGTTACAGCAATAGTTTCTGATTTTAAAGTTCTATTACAGGATTAAAAGAATCCTGAACTACGTCATGCTTGGTCAAGTGGGAATGAATAATGATGGAGTAATTTCCAATACGTATTCATCTCTGATTCTCTCAGAAACTGATTTCCAAGATGGGTGGAGAAAAGAGAAGGTGGGGCGTTTTGCTTTCGTCCATGTCCCTGTTGTTGAACTTGCTTCTGTTACATTGCTGCGCTGCAACTAATAACATAACTTTATCCAGGCCATTATCTCAAGACCAAATCCTTACCTCCCCAGGCCAATTTTTTGTGTTGGGCTTCTTTCAGCCTAACAATTCTGCCAATCGATATGTGGGAATATGGTATAAAGATAAAGCTCCTACAAAAATTGTTTGGGTGGCTAATAGAGAGAAGCCAGTTACAAACTCCTCGGCAAGTCTAACAATTGGGAGTGATGGAAATTTGAAGCT